TTTATAGCTTTATTTTGGTGATTTCAAAAACGTTTTGGATTAGCCATATTTGTTTGCTGTTGTACAAAGTTAGACTGATAACTTGAATCTAAATTGTCTTATGGTTGTTATTGTTTGACTTGCATCCCACTGGGATTTGTGCACACAGCATTGATACACGGTGCTTTTTCTGGAAGACTTTGCTGGGTTTTTTCCTGGATTTTTCTGTTGCGTGTAGTCACTTTAAGATGTTTCTTGTTCATGTTTTTGTTTGTTGCGTTTGCAACCGATTCAAGAGCCGAATGGCTCACATAAATGAATTGAACTGAATTTATATATAGAGGACCACATAGGTGTGGCAATTGTTGATGACAGCTCACTCCGTGACTGCTACAGCCTTCTGGCTTTGTAGTTCCTTGCGTCCCCATTGAGTCGTCCCCTCTCTCTACGAAAGCGAATACTGGTGCGGCAGCGGCAGCACCTTAAAAGTTTAAAATACGATTCGTACTCTACATGTACAAGTGGCAGTAGAGTGCACAAATCACTGAGAACGCACACATCCACACAGGGAAGCGCACGCGTGTATCAGACACATGCTTTTTCCCCATCCCAGATGATGACTTCACAAACACAATCAAAATCTTTATCTTGGAGAAATCCGATGAGCTATGAAGCTCTTTTAATACACAGATGCCCACATAAGGCACCACGTGTGCACCGTGCATCAATCATGGGGCATTGTATACACACAATCGCCGTGGTTGAACATGCCACTATAAACAGACCACGCGTTTAAAGTTAAACACATGACAGTTCTTTATATGCACACAGCTAATATTAAGCGGGCAGTTTACACAGCACACACAACTACCATACATTGCAGGCATCACACACACTGCACTGTATGACTAGGTGTATTCCATTGTTGTAATGTACTATATCTCCCGCATCTATGCGACCGGCCTTCACCAACGCACCATGACAAAGCGTGTGGTTTCAGTAGGGTCAAACAACATTCATGACCGAGAAACCCACCCCCCCCCCGGGTAAACCTTCTCAACGTCGCACCAACGTTCACGCAACGTTGTGGCCCAACGTTCCACGTTTAACTGGGAAAGCGTGGCCTGGAGGCCCTCATGCAGCGGTAGATTTACAAATGGGCCATGTACATGTGTAGGTTTTGCACTATTTTCACCTGTTAGACGCAGCGTGCAAACACAGTCCCATGCCAAACTTTTAAACCGCAGTCCACACAGTAACAATGACCATAACACAATTATAGACTCTGTTGAAATGGCCATTTGGAGTACTAAGGTACAAATGCGGTAAATACGTACTTTACCGAAAAAATCTAAAAGAGCACACCACTTACCAAGGCCGTAATGATAATATATATTAGGGGGGACACATCCCCCCCCCAATATTCAAATATGCTCAAAATGTCCCCCCCAATATATTGCTATAAAAAAATTGCTGTGCTATGTAAATTAAAGCAACTATTTGCTAAACCTTGCCACAATATCTGGACTTGTCTTCACATAAATCAAAGCATAGATTTCTGTTTATATGATTGTGGTTATGGGTGTACTTTATTAATCCCTAATCTCTGCCATTACAGTACATACAATGAAACAAGAAATGGTAAAACAAAGTAAAACCAGAGCAATGTAATAGAATACACTATTAGACATTGTAAAAAATAAATTAAAAGTCCATCCCATGTGTTAGTAATATTTTTTTATATTTTATCCATGAAATTAGTTTTCAAATGTAGATATTTTTCTGGGTTTGGACCCCCAGACACCCTGCAAGATTTAGTGCCCCCCCAATGTTGACTCCATGGCTACTTACTGTGGCATTCGGTGCAGCAGTGTTGAGTGAATGTGGCAGCATTAACAAAATCGTTATAACTGCTGGTTGTGTCGTAACTTCACCACGCTGGTTCGTGCGAGTTGGTGAAGTTGTGGGGGAGCCCACGGATCCTGAGCACCACCTAGGTCGACTCAGCCTCAAATGAGTACCTGGCGCAGTGTGTAGTAAACATCACCACTAGGGGAGACAAAGGCGGCCGGGCGTGGTGCCGACCACCCACCCGCTCACTAACAGCACTTGCCCCAACAGTATGTTAAGGCTATACGGGGGATCTTTGTCTTTGTCAATGGGGGGGAGCCCAGGTCCGGTTCGGGTATCACTTGCCACTGACGTTAGCCGTGAGTTTGGCCCGAGTTGGTACCGCCGCAGCGCGCTAACCACAGCGCCACCGCTCCCCACGTGGGTAACGATTACACAGCACTGGAGTATAAAAAAATAGGTTACGAAGAGGAGAATAAGATTATCCATCAATACTCATTCATCGATACACACACCCAGTCTCGTGTCGCGACTACACAAGGTTGCAATGTCACCACGACAGCCGTGTACAACGTGCTTTGGTCAAAAACGACCCTTTAATAATGAACCGGAATCAGCACGTGTTGACCGACACGAAACAGCAAACCTTCCGACAAGATACGCGAACAATAACAACAACATGTAGAAGGGGGGGGGGGGGGGTGAGCATTTCAATTGTTACGCAGAAACTCACCGTCTCCATCCGACTGCAAGCACGAGCGGATATTCCTCTTCCACCTTGGCATCGTTTAAAATCACAACGCCGAACAGCTGATCGAAGACAACACCAACAACAACGCGTGGAACTCTGTCGCTGCCGTCAGGACCAGGAGGGCATGGTGTGCCGTGTTGTACAAGATTAATGTTACAAAGGCGTCTCTTCACACGGCAGAGTAATTCCGTACTGAGCGAGCGAGGAGAACTCTTTCGCTTTGGGTGATGGGGGGGTAACAAAAGACTCGGTGAGATTTTTTTTTTACTTGCGCTTTCAAACTTTCGCACGCCTGTACCAACACGTGCGGAGGGGGGGGGTTGGCTGGGGTATAAAAATTATAGAACATTTATTTTTATTTAAAGCCACTCAGTTACTTAACCAAACTAACGTGTTGTATAGCATTTATTAAAATATATGTTATTGTTTTCAAGTGCCGAGAAGCTTTTGGTGTTGTTTAATAATAAGTGGCAGTGTTGGTGGGAACCCCTGCGAGGGATGGTATTGCCCAGTGTAATGCGATCTCAGGGGTGGTTGTATTGCATTGCCGGTTGAAATCCACATTGCTTGCTGCTGCACGCCACCACCACGACAAACCACCCAGCAGTTGTTCGTACTCAGCAGCGCAAGAATACAAAGAATGCTATAAAAATAAGTAATAAAAAATATATAAATAATAATAGAAACAAAATTAAAAATTCTATTATTTTTTCTATCAACAAAATATTTTTTTCCTATTAGTATTTCTATTATTAGTATTATCATTATTTTTACCTACGTGACTTAACTGAAAAAACCTAAGAGTATGAATCCTTGCAGTCACGAAAGCTTCAAATCTAGAATAAATGCTATGATTTATCTTTGGTTCTTTCGGTAAAGTCACGTAAGTAGAAAAATTAATAAAACAAAAAAATTATATATTTGATATTATATTCTTGGTTCTTTCGATAAAGTCACGTAGAAGGGAAATAATACAATAAAACATAATAAAGTAATAAAATTATAAAAAATACAACATAATAAAATAATTATTATGTTTTAATACATTTGTATTTTATTATTTCCCTTAAATCGAATTTTATTTTGTATTATGTTACATTATTTTAAATTATTTTATTTTTCTACCTACGTGACTTTACCGAAAGAACCAAAGAGTATGGATTCCTGCAGTCACGAAAGCTTCAAATCAAGAATGCTACGATTAATATTCATTCGCATGGCCACGCCAAGTGCAGTATCTCTTCAGTCCCCCCTCCCACTTACTCCATCTCGATCCCTTCCTTCTTTATCAAATCTCCATCTTATCTCCCCTTCTTCCATTGCTATCACCATCCATTCAAAATCACATCTCCTTTCATCCAACCCTCTCATCCTTCTACCCATCCCCATAATCACATTCCGCTACATCCCCATCGATTCCCATCCGATATCAGCTCTCCTTTCATCCACTCTCATTCCATGCATTCCAATCGACATCGATCTCAATCCTCATCTCGCCTTCCTTCCTTATCTGCTCGAATGGCATAATGGGTATCTTTAACGCCCCCTGTGAAGCAGACGGCGCGTATTATTGCGGTTATTACATTTAGAAATATGCGTTGAGAGTATTTAAAATTATCTTGCTGCTATGAATGTCCTAATGGTGGGCCACTTTGCTGTGGCCAGGTCGCTTCCTGAAAAATAAGTGAATACCTCAGTGGGCTTTGCCTGGTAGGATGGTTTAAATTTCGATTTAAAGCTTTCGTGACTGCAGGGATTCATCTTCTTGGTTCTTTCGGTAAAGTCACGTAGAATGCGTTGTGGCCGAAACGTCGTGAGAATTATTTAATGTTTAATTTTTATTATTTTATTATTTCCATTCTACGTGACTTTACCGAAAGAACCAAGAAGATGAATCCCTGCAGTCACGAAAGCTTTAAATCGAAACACTACCATACGTTATCATTGCTTACCTTATTAGAGACCAATTCAGACCTTATTTATTGGATCACCCCATGTCCCTTATAAATCTCAACGTACAAGGGAGAAACACAAATAGATTAAACAAAATTGCCCGTATTGAAACGGCTGTATGACGTATGGACCTGAAAACTCAATTTCCCTGTACAATAATACGGGGAGGGCCGTCCATAAAGGACGTCACGTCATTTATGGACATTTGTGACGATGTGTGATGAGGGGGGGGGTGAGAAATGTGACGTCACATCACCGTTGTTTTACACGGGACGTGACGTCATCGTCGTTTACGCTGGACGTGACGTCACGTCGTCTTAGCTCTAGGCTTGACGTCACGTAGTTTACGATAGACGTGACGTCACGTCGTTATAGCTGGACGTGACGTTTTCACGCTGGACGTGACGTCACGTTGTTTACGCTGGACGTGACGTCACGTTGTTTACGATGGACATGACGTCACGACGGCGTCGTCCGGCCGTTGTGAGAAGGCACACAGGAGGCGATGGAGGAGGAGGAGGCCGACGCCGCCGCCGCCTCGGCCGGGCTCAACGACCTCCCCGAGGCGGTGCTCCTCCACATCTTCGGCTTCTTGTCGGTCGGCGAGGTGCTACGAGTCAACAGGTGTCGTGTGTTCTCCACGCGCCGTCGCGGAGCCAGACAAATATGACCGCTGAGTGAAGGCCCTCTCGCCTCCTGCTGCCCCCCATCACCACCTCCACCACCAAAGCCACAATCCTCTGAAGCGCCCAACAATCGTGCGACGTTGTCGTGATCCACCCACCTACACGGAGGCCGTGTGCCACGTGAACTCGCCGTTTCGCCGTGTATCTCTTCGGTGGACGTCCTATAACAATATCGTTGAGACTGGACGCGTTTCATGTTTTTTTACACGATTTCATTTAGCTCGCTCTGTCTGTTGTTGTTGTCGTTGTTGATGTCGTTGATGTCGTTGTTGTTGTTGTTGTGTCCTCAAATATTGTAACTCAATTTTGAACCCACTTCCCAATGTGGAATCGACTGCAAATTTGTTATAATTGTGTCATACTGATGACAATACTGTATTCTATCATTAAAAATGAACACAAATATTTATTTTTAAACATTTTTTATTTAAAGCTTTCGTGACTGCAGGGATTAATATTTGGTTCTATCGGTAAAGTCACGTAGAAGGGAAATAATAAAGTTAGAAAATTTTCTTGCTGTGGATTTCACACCTGATGATGATTGCTTGTGTTGCAGTCGAAACGTCGTGATATTTTTTATTGTTTTATATTTTTATAATTTTATATTTTTAGAATTTTATTATTTCCCTTCTACGTGACTTTACCGAAAGAACCAAGAATATGTTTCATGTTATGTTTCGGCTTGGGTCTAATTGTCCACGGTCCCTTACGTTATGGCAAGCTTCGGGGCCACTTCCTGGAGTCGTGGAGTTCTGCCATTACTAGTACATTTCATAAAAGCGTGTTTTTTTTTATGTTACTTTTTTTGTTGGGCTGAGTTGGTAATTCCTTCCCTCGCCTGGTATGCAGGTGGTCGTATTCTGTATTTGGAATTTGCGTGTCTCTCTCCCAGAGGTGTGGACTCGAGTCATGTGACTTGGACTCGAGTCAGACTCGAGTCATGAATTTGATGACTTCAGACTCGACTTGGACTTGCATAACAATGACTTTGTCCCACCTCTGAGGTGTGGACTCGAGTCATGTGACTTGGACTCGAGTCAGACTCGAGTCATGAATTTGATGACTTCAGACTCGACTTGGACTTGCATAACAATGACTTTGTCCCACCTCTGCTCTCTCCCCAACCCTCCCCCCCCCCGTGGTTCGCGTGGATTTTTCTCTGGGTCCTCCGGATTTTCCCCTCCGCATTTATAAACATGCGGTTTAGAATGTTTACTTTGGCTGTGGTAAATTTACACACGATGAGCCATCATTTTTGGGCAGGTCGCTTTTGAAAAGTGAACTTAGAAGTGGCTATGTGGTATCTGCTTTCACTTAGTCCGTTCTTAAACACAAAGGGGTTATGCGTCTCTGCGAGAGATCCAAATGGATATATTGGGAATGTGGAATTTCCACCCACTTGGTCGGAAATATAAGTGCTGACCCATTAGTTGTGTTTGCAAGCAGAAGTGGACATTTAAATGATGTTATTTTGAATGTATGGTTTCATAAAGCACGGAATTACAAATGACTTTTTGCAATTAATACATCATTTTGAATCCGTATGTTTCTGTATCATCAGAGTCTGCAAATTTTGGCGTAGACTCGCACGCGACAGATGTCTATGGAAGAATGTGGACTTAACACCCTATAAGGTGAGTGTATTTAATTAGAACACTAAAATAAAAGGTAATGGTGCAGCCCTGCACATTTATTTCTCACACCACGTTGACGGAAGGGCGTCCACTACAGAGAGCTCTCGAGCAGACCTACAGGATATTTTGTCCTATACTGGCCAGACGTCTTGGAAGATACAAATACTAAAAATAGTGATACATCATAATGGTCCAGCCCTTTGTCAGTCCACATTGGATACAAGCCTAACCACACCATGTCGATCGTGAAGATTGATCAACCATATTTCACTCAGCTGGTCAGTGTGAGTTGATGTGTAAACATCACCACTGGGGAAACATAGGTGCCAGCCAGCCACCCACCCCCTGATGTGCCATGACAGCTTTCATAGGTGCTTCCTCTCAGAATGTTCTCCAACAGTGTTAAGGCGATACGAGGGATCTTTGTCTTTGTGAGATCAGATTTTTATAACTTTGTTGACACTGCAAAATTTTAAGGCGCATCTTACTCTCTAGAGCATCTTATGATCGTGGAATACGCTATTGGTCCCTTGCGAATGTGACTTATCTTCCGTCTTGGGTTCTCACCTTGTTAAACGAAATAAATATTCTTTGGGTCTTTCGATAAAGTCACGTAGATAGGCTCAAAGAAAATAACAAAAAACTACGACGTTTCGATCGCAACACAAGCGGTCGTCATCAGCCCTTTAATTGGTGGAAACCCACCGCCAATCGCGCTCGCTGCCCATCACTTACATTAACATCAGCTGCCCCACCCTTGCTGCTGACATTTGGGCTACGCCCATTTTAAACCTTTATAAACAGTTTGCCTTTAGAAGCTAACCCCCTTTTCCTGATGACGAACGTTTGTGTTGCGATCGAAACGTCAAAGTTTTTTGTTATTTTCTTTTAAACTATCTACGTGACTTTACCGAAAGACCCAAAGAACGTGAATTTCTGCAGTCACGAAAGCTTTAAGTCAAGATTGAAACGAAATAAAGTTTGAACTGGAAACATCACACGGCCGCGTTGCACGTTTTACATCCCACGGCTCCGTCACAGCCACCTCTCGCCTGATCCCCGCCACACAGCTGGACGCGCGCACACTGCGCCAGGTGCTCCGCCGGCATGGCTCGGCAGCCCTGCACTCGCTGAGCTTGCGCAGCTCCCTGCTGCACCGCCAGAACTCCCGCCGCCACTTCCTCACGGATGCCGTGCTGCGGGAGGTGGGCCGCTCGAGCCCCAGCCTGCACACGCTCGACGTTTCGCACGCCAACCTTCGCCACCTCTCGTTCGCCATGCTGCCCGCATCGCTGCGCACGCTGCGCCTCAGCATGTGCGAGATGCCACGCGACTGGCTGAGCCGCTGTGACTCGGTGGGGCCTAGGCTCACGTGCCTGGAGGTCGCCAACGTCCCGTCGTTCAGCAACGACGCGCTGGTGGATGCCGCACGTGGCCTGCCGCTGACGGCGCTGTCGCTGAGCCTCGCGTACCGGTGCGTTACGCGCGCATGATGGGGACGTGCGCACGTGTGTGCAAGTGTATGTGCCGTGCCGAGCTTCATAGGTGCTCGCTAACAGGAATTCTAGACTTAGTTACGTGATGTCACCTTTCTAGGGCTGTTTGACATTCTATTTTGTACAAATTTGAAAAGATAATTATAAATAGTTCTTACACTTTTTGTATCTGATGAGAAACTCGTCAGATAGAAAAGTGCTTGCAGTTTGGAAATGAACAATAATACGTGCAACAGGTGATTTATAGAAGCAACCTGGCCCCAAATGGTAGCTCATGGAAGGGGCCTATCATGTGGAAATGTATAGCAGCCAAATGTATAATGTGCACAGCCTTGATTCAGATCACCAACTCAGAAGGGTCAAAATTGTGGCTATTATTAGTTTAGACAGCAGTAGAATGAGACAACTGTTTACCGGTTTCCTCCTTGTTAGGAATCATCAGTTCAGCTTATCCATCATTACGTGAGCATCCCTTGTAGTCCTGGAGCATAGACGATATTTTACCTGTTGCTTACACCTGAGATGGCACAAATTTAGTTTCCAATTTATAGTCCGTGGCCAATAACAGTGCATCATGTGGTAACCGTTTGAAAGGAGTGGGTTATCAAATAATTAACTTTTATTCACAATGTAAATATATTGGTTCTAATAATGGTTTGCTTCCTCACATGGTACCAATATCTTGCTCTAGCCCATAAGACTATTAAGGACAACACTTTCGGTCGGTGTGTCGTGAGCAGAGTGACGGACAACGGGCTACATGCCTCGTGCGAGAACTTTGGGGCTCTGCAGCGGCTGCGTCTGAGCCAGGGCAGCATCACCGACCTCGGCCTGCACCACATCTGCCGGCACATGCCCGCCCTTCGCAAGCTCGAGCTGTTCCGATCAAACAAGCTGACCGACGCGGGCCTGGCCTGCTTCGGCCGCAGCCTGCCCCTCCTCTCCACGCTCGTGCTCTCTGGCTGCGCATTCACCGCAAAGGGCATTGGCCAGGCGTGTCGGGAACTACCCGCCCTGCGACGACTCGATTTGGCCGAGCTGCAGCTGACGGAGCAGGAGGCGGAGCAGATCCGCAGAACGTTGCCCAAGTGCAACATCGTCTTGCGGGAGCCTCCGGAAAGAAACCCGCCCGGCGGTTTGCTGCAAGCGCAGGTGTTTGTCGGCAGGAATTAAAGACCCGTGAACAATCTGAAAGCGTGATACTATGGAAATATAATCGTACTAACAACAAAAAACAAGCTTGTATATCGCCTTTCACTGCAAGTTATACCAAGGTACATTACCATGTCCGCGGAATATAAAACTACAAAATGTTAAAATATGATGTATCCCATTCATCGTATGAAGGTGTGAATTGAATGGAAGTAAAAAGCAATTGGTTTCTCAGGCCACTGCTGGAAATAAGGCCTCAACTAGAGGAAATTAGAGCTCTTCGAGAGGGTATTTGTTTTACTCTTCCAAGCTTGAAAAGGATGTCTACATAAAAAAAAATATGCCAAAACCACCTGTGCTATTATTAAAATGAACGTATTTGGGTATCTGTCCGGTGGGTTTCTGCCTAGCCACTAGATAGTTCTTTGTAATTATATGTTGGGGAGTTATTTACCGTCTATTGGCCACATACTCTTAGCATTGGGCTGAGTGAAAACTAAATTTTCACGGTGCGCATTTTTGCAGTTGGTGGCTGGACCGAAACTATCAAATGTCTGCGCATTAGAAACTGGTTTAGCTCAAGATGTGAATGCAAGATCGTAGCAGTGATTACTCTGATATTGTATTTATGTCCATAAATCACTCGACCTCTGAAAAGTTGGTTCTTTTGATAGTTATTAAGAGGCTGGGTTAGGTTGTACTTGGAGGCCACCTTTTGGAAAAAATACCTGATATGTGCATAACAATCTCCAGAAATACTGCAATTGTAATACTTTCACGTTAAGCACATTTTTGAGGTCTACTGCAAATAAAATTCAAATAAACTTACGCTGTTTCCTACTTTGAAGCGTTTTATTCCATGAGGTCTTACAGTGAAGACTTTTAAAACGTGTAATCACATGACTACATAGCACAAGACAATCATGTATCCTACTTAGTGGGAGGTCATGTTAAAAATATTCTCTGATTTACGTAAGCTAGCTGTAGTAGAATAGAAATCTTAAAATTGTAACACCTTTCAGAATGATGGTTTTGGGTTGAGATTGGTGGGACGCAGGATGCAGGAGAGCAGGATACCAAAATCGACACCGGAGTAGCACCAATAATTCGGTGACTAAGGGAAAGACAAAGTTAGGAAGGTGATGGTGGTGATGACAAAGAGTGGCCTATGGCAGACGTGACAACTGTAACAAAAGGAAGACAAAGCCACGTGGTGGTGGTGATGAGCCTGTAAGAGTTGTCCCCGAAACACTGTCAACTGGAACAAGGGGAAGACCTAAAGGTGGTCATGAGGGTTGAAAATCAGACATTTTAACTATGCAACAGCTGATTTAAAGCTTTTATGACTGCAGGGATTCATATTATTGGTTCTTTCGGTAAAGTCACGTAGAAGGGAAATAATAAAAATATAAAATAATAAAAATTATCACGACGTTTCGACTGCAACACAAGCAATCATCATCAGGTGTGAAATCCACAGCAAGAAAATTTGAAAAAAGTGGCGTTTTTTTCTTAACGTCAGCACCACGGACAGCGATATGGCAGTTGGTCAGATGGACGAGTCCATCTATGTGGATTTCACACCTAATGATGATTGCTTGTGTTGCAGTCGAAACGTCGTGAGAATGTTATTGTTTTATATTTTTATTATTTTTCTTTTACGTGACTTTACCAAAAGAACCAAGAATATGTAACAGCTGTGAGGTCGAGCAGAAGTGATCGCAAGATTCGATTTCATCAACAACTTTGTGACGATCCCTGAATGTTTTTGCACACACCTCCAGAAAACATGTTGGTATTGTGCACCATTGACTAAAACAGGTCAATTAAATCAATTCCTCATATGCTGCACTTTGACCATTGTACCATATAACCAACGCTGATTTTAGTTGAAAAAGTACAGTATTTAAGAGTAGGCTTGGACATTATGGATTAGAGCAGTGGTTCACAGGCTTTGATCCGTAAACCACTGGTGGGTTATCCTCAAGGCTGCGTGAGGTGGCTTGTGGAACTGTTGCAGATTTTTTTTTTCTTCACAACCCATAATTTTCACTGCGTGGTCAATGAACAGTGACCCATGGATCTACTTTGGTAATCACTGGAGTAGGTGTGGAATTTACTGGCTGCGGTTTTTTCAAAAGGTGAATTCTCTCTGGAATGTGAATGCAGTTGTATCCCAGAGAAAACGTCCTTTGTAATGCAGGGTTTTATGGTATTCATTGCCACTTTCTGCCATGGCAGAAGCTCAATGTAAACCCAATAATTCAGAATTACAATTGGTAAATATAACAGTACTACAATATTCTCCATTGATGTTCTTGCTTCAGGTGATGGTATTTTTCTACGAAATGTATATAAATTCAGTGCATATTTTACCCATTTGGTGTCACAGACGTAAGGGTGAATTAAAAGGTGAAATGTTTTACGTCCATTTTATCTGTGGATAAGATATTGTAGGATTAGCATTCAGTATATTCGGCAAACTCTTCCGGTTAACCGCTATCTCAGCAAAACTGGGCAGCCGCTTTGTACTAACCTCATGGAAATAGCCGTCGATTAGTTCCACACCTTTCTCGCAGTGACCCCCAATTGTTTTGACCGACATGTAATGCACAGTGCGCACCAAAGCGACCGGCGAAATGTCCGAAAAGGTGCGATGGCCTCACAACATATTCTTTGGGTCTTTCGGTAAAGTCACGTAGATAGGTTCAAAGAAAATAACAAAAAAGAATACATTGTTCTTTTATTTGAACCTATCTACGTGACTTTACCGAAAGACCCAAAGAATATGAATTCGTGCAGCCACGAAAGCTTTAAGTCAAGGTTTCACAACAGTTGTTGACGGACATACGCATCATCGGCAGGGGGCACAGACACACTTTATGAAGGTCCCACCAGCGAATGGATCCCCCGGTGGTTATTGGCGATATTACAGATTTGGATCCACGCAGTTTGCTCCCAACTTTTTCACGGATAAAAAGGCGTTCATACTGTACAAAAATTATATTGATTCCATAAGGGGTTTTTTTTGGGTGGGGGAGGGGGCGTTTATATCACGTAAATATAAATGTGTTGTTAAACCCGCCACCACCCGACACAAGCCAATTAGTAAGGTTTGGCATATTTTGCTTACGTGACAAAACTTGCTAATTGGCTGTGTCGGGTGGTGGCGAACTTAACGACACATTTATATTTACGCGATCTAATCCATAAAAAAACCTCATGGATAATATCGGTTGCGATAGCTTACGTGTTAAACTGATTACATAAAATCTATTCAACCTATTGGCTAGTGACTCGGTTCAAAGTCTTACGGTTCGCGAGCTACGGTGTGTGTTTAAAGATGTTTAAGGTAGACGAATGCGGACTCAAATATACTCTGATTTTTATACAAAATGTGTGAGCCGAATCTAAAAATGTTTGGGCGGGGGTGTCATGATACCCCTAACACCCATTGACTGAACCCCTGGTCATCAGTATTTCATCACATAGCAGGTTTCAGTGACTGGCGGTCGTCATTGCTGTTTAAATACCACTCTCAACTCTTGATAATTTCAGTGCATGCATTTCACAACAGACACTGCCACTTCACGCCATGGTCTTAGCGGTGGGCAATGAGGGATGCTTCCCAGACTGCAAAGTTGCAGATAGGTGCTAAAAATGTACGAGCACAGAGGACTGTTACGTTTTAAACCGAATGCCTCTGATAGAGTCTCATACGCGCATGCAAAAGTCCAGGCTCCCAGTGACTTATTACACGTTTCTGCAGTTAAAATGTCGCCTTGCCGAAGAAATACGTTGTCTCGGAACAGAGAAATGATGCATGCTGTGGCCAAATTGGGGAGCGGGACAAAGTTATTTTTGGGGCAGGGATTTATCTCCCATAATTCTTGTCAATGTTACGGAAAACATTTTTTAGTGTAATCAGCATGTCATCGGGCGAAGTATCCAATCGGATCGCTCACAGAACGGTGCAACACTTCGTGTTAGAGAAGAGACCACGGAAGCGGGTCTCACAGAGTTAGCTCCCCTCTGGTCCACACGCGGTAGAGGGCAGAACTTACCACTCGCTCTGAATAAGTTAAACTGATCATTATAATTCTCGAAGCTGAAACGTAGCCAAATTTAAAGTGCAGAACAAAATTTAGCATGATGGTTTTTTGTGTGTGCAGTCATTGGTGACTGGGTTAAGACCATTAACTCATTACCCTTGAGGACCTGGTTTATTCAAATCGTGGGAGAAGGTACATTGCCCTCCAAGGGGCCCCACGTACGACTAACACATTCCTGCGGAGGGAGCTGGTAGGAACGTTGGGTTGCTCGGTCAATGGTCAGGGTCAACGGCGCCGTGGTGTATTCCGCAAATATGCCCGACTGTGAGGGCGGGCACAAGCCGGCGTGAGTAGGTTAAACGTTGAGTTTTATAAGGGCGCCACGGGGTGACCAGCCCCTCCCCACCCAGCCCCTCCCTCCTCACCCTCCCCTCCCCTTCCCACCCAGCCCCACCCAGCCCTTCCCCACCCTCCCCCCACCCAGCCCCTTCCTCCCCACCCAGCCCCTCCCTGCACGACGGACGGACACAATAATCCCCTGTGGGCTGGTGTAACCAGGAGGTTCCAACCAGTATATCCATTATAATCCAAGTCAGTCATCGCTTTCGCTGTTCATACACATGTACTTCAATTTCCCAACGCACAATTCGGACACTGCAAGCACATAACACACATCAAGCCATCAACTGTGAAAATGTAAGATATTAAAATAAAGTACACACGTGCATATCTCCACACACGTAGATCGTCAGGGTGTATCGCGCAAATACATCTGCATATGCATATTTACGTCATCAAGAATTGCGAAGCCACAACTTTAAATAATATCTTGTAATTTGCTTTTAATCGGATATTGCTTGAAGATGGGGGATAACGTTATAATCATCTACAAAAAAATTAGCAAAGTCTTCCTTCAGACTTTTAAATACATTATAGCCTGATAACTTAAGGATAAATAAAACGTGTAATTTTAAATGTTGCTGCCTTTATTGTCAACTTTTCAAAGAACGTTGTGTTCTTGACATTTAAAAAAAATATTAAGCTTTTAAAACTGCATACGATCCTATTTAACATTTTTGAAACATGATTTCTAAGTGACATGATTTACACCTGTTATAAACATGGTTTTAATTCACAAAACATCAAATCTACCAAATTATCTACCTGGGAAAAATATATATCTTGCATACAATTTCAAAACAAAGCAAATCCAAAGATTATAATATTTTGAACTAATCGTCTGCGGTAAAAACATTTTCGCATGCTAAATTAAAAACAATGCATTTCCATTAAATACTTCAATAGTGTATATTAGTGTGGAAGAACTCGATCTGTACAGCTGCATAATAACTGATAAAGTGTTACGATCAACTGTAACATTCTATAAGATGCTTTCAATAGGCGGACATCCCTCCTATAATCACCCAGGAATGTCTGTCCTTAACGCTCGTGACGTCATTCCACATCGACCAGCCCCCCTCATTAATAATCATGAACAGGTGACGTCCTCCAAATGGACCCCCCTCCCCCCCCATTCATAATAATTAGCAGCTGACGTCACTCCACATGGGGGGGACGTGGCGCCTCCTCCCCCCTCCTCAGAGTCAACTTACAACCCTCACTACAAAGGCAGAACCCTCACGTCACGTGGTCTCTGTAACGCTGTTGAGACATCAAAGTAAAAAGGACGTCATAATGAACAAGGGATTATAACCTTAAAATGAAATAGGTCCGTGTCACCGCGCCCTTACAAATTGCACACGAATTTGATGCAATTAATATCATGTCGCGGTCTGCTTTTCGCTTGCAAGTTTCAGATTTACTGCAATACACCTGTCCTTGGACGGGCAAAAGGCGAGTTTTATATACATGTGTTAGACACGTGATACAGCTTAGTGCATTTCACCACCACTGTCGTCAATGCATACACTTCTAAAGCAGCCATAACCATTTAATTCAATACCGTGTTGAAGTTAACACGTAGTTTTCCGCGGCCAATATGTGTGATCCATAATCGATCTTTGGGGTTAGGCCACGTAATGATCTGGGCCAAATGTGTGTCGACCCTCCACCATCCGACCCAGCCAAATAAACACCCAAAAATGAGTCTTCAACTTAGCAGTGAGCTGAAACTATACTAATGGTAAACAGTAATTGTTGGCACATTAAACGCTCGTACACGTGACATTTACATTTGGCGCTGTTGGGTGATGAAGGTTCTTAATGACGCACGTGCCTGAACCCCAAACATCAACTATAGAAGAACTCCTCTGGTTCTTTCGGTAAAGTCACGTGGAAAGAAAACATGAATTAAATAATAGCATACGACGCTTAGATTGCAACACAAGCAATCATCATCAGGAACAAATGAAAGAGAAAACAAACCTAGCAAACTTAGAAATATAATGCAATACAACACAGAGAGTCTGCTAACACAACAGTCAATACCCTACCGACCTGGTTGATTACGTTCTTCCAAAGAACTAGGTGGGGTGTTGACTGTTATGTTAGCCGACTCTCTGTGTTGTATGTCATTATATTTCTAAGTTTACGAGCTTTCATATTTTTGGTTCTTTCGGTAAAGTTACGTAGAAGGGAAATAATAAAATAATAAAAATAGAACAATAAAATTCTCACGACGTTTCGTTTGCGAAACAAGCAATCATCAATCGAAATTTACTAGCTTTGTTTTCTCTTTCATTTGTACCTGATGACGATTGCTTGTGTTGCAATCGAAACGTCGTATGCTATTATTTAATTTATTTTTTCTTTCTACGTGACTTTACCGAAATAACCAAAGAGTAATTCCTGCAGTCACGAAAGCTCCAAATCAAGTTCACAGAAGAGCATTTTGGTGTCAGTAATAATGATGGCACACGCTCATTTGCCGTACGTTACATCGATGCTGGGGGCATCACGGTAGACACAAAGAATAAATCCCGTAAATCAAATGTGGACACAATCACGACCGTTATTATAGTGGACGTATAACCAAGGGGCGGCCTAACCACGACTTTGTGAGCCACCTGTAGTTCCCGGGCAGCAGATGACGAACGAAGCGGTTAATCTCGAGTGTTTTTCGATTCGACTGCATCTGAATCGGAAAAGATCCTGCGGAAGTGGCAGCAGCCCTCTGGGCACTCACCGCTGCTGGCAGTGGAACCACACACGACTACTCCCAGGACGCTCCCGAAGAAGATTGGTTTATTTTTCTTCAATTTAAAAGTCCGCAGCGAAGCAGAGCGAGCGAACCGGGCCCCACAAACTCCCCGACGTGGCCATATGAACGCTTTGTCATACGGCTTGTAAGAGTCTGCAGGTTTGGCCAATTTTGTTACAGAAAATGGGCTCGGACTAGATATTGATACCACTGGAGGTCATTAAACATAGCTGTTATTTTTTTAAATAGTCGTTAACCACAGATGACACTGCTGCAATTCACTTTCATATCGGGCATAGAAAGAAATTGGTATTGCCAATATGTAGCCACTTTAGGTGCTATGGCCCAACAGCTTTCGTACTCACTGTAAAGTGTGATTATGTTATGAAATAAAGTAATTATAATTCAACTTTAGTATAATAAGCTTTGCATATTTCATCAGACCATTCTTTTAGATTTTTTCCTTAAACACTTTGTGTGTGTGCTCATCCCGGCAGCATTAGCTGCTTGCCACTAACGACATAACCATCGTAAATATGGCTCTGCGAACGAGAAAGGAACGTTCCTTTCAGATAAAGTGCTTTTAATACCAAGGTGTACTCTACGTAACGTGCCTCAAACCGTTCGCAGGACAATATCGCTCCCACGCACGGTATCGCTCTCCGACGCGTTCTAGGGGGTTGTACCGCGTCGTGTTCGGCTTCAATTGTGCGACCTTTTCGCTCCGTGTGTGGGCGGGGTGGTGAGCTGCTGCCTGACACGTGGAAGCCCTTGGTTGTGCCGAAGACCCGGACCAAAACATATGGGGAGGCAGCCTGCAGCTTCGATTGTCCTCGCCTTTGGAAGAGCCGGCCTGAGGATCTGAGGGCATCAGAATCAGTGAATGTAATTTAAACGAAATCTTAAGACGTCCCTTTTTTAAATGGCTTTTCATTAGGATGCTTTTTGTTTATGATGCTTTTTATTATACTTTTAGTTTATTGTTACGTAATTTTTTTATGTATCATTCTTATTGTTGTTTACATTGTGTAAGTCGCTTTTATTTTGTCCTGTAAAGCCCTTTGTATCGCATTCTTTGCACAAATTCTGCTATATAAGTAAAGTTAGATTTTTTATTTGAAGACATTTTTACAGCATAACCACGGAAGCCTGTGCATTAGAACCTCACACATGCACACATTCCTGTTTCACAGTGTCAACCCCATGCAGTTACTACTGCGCTGACCGGCGCATTGCAGAAGCTACCGCAGCTTTACCCTCCCATCTCAGATGTCACGAAAGCTTTAAATCGAAAAATGATTATTTTGTTATATGCTGTATGCTTAAATGCATTATAATGGAATTTAATGTCATATTCCAGGCCACTCTTGCAAATGAGACTATCCTGGTCTCTTGAGTTCTCACCCGGTTAAACAAAATACATTCGACTTACTGGGAGGGGTTTGCAGATAAGAGGATGACTGCCAAGAGTGGTGTTACTTTGAAGCACCACGTGCAAATGACTTAACATTTTGGAACTTTATATAAACGAAATTAAAAAAGGAAAAACAAAACACCAAATTGTAATTAATCTCAACGATTATTTTTTATCGGAATAAAAAAAAGTTCACGACCATTACTGACCATTCATTGTCACAGCGTAGAGAAATATTCCTCTTAAATAACATTAATTATGTCAACTTGCTATGCATTATTGTATATCCCTATTTTACAGACGGATTGCCAGCGTGGAAGAGTAGGCCAAAGGGACTCCCTAGGGCTCCCTTTGGTGGGAGGCCTTACGCCCGCAGTAGCATGAGCAAGCAATTGCAGGTCTGTACCTTGACCAAAAGCAATCTAGATTTCCGATATAATATTTAAAAAAATAATTAAAATCTCTTGTAAAAGTGAATATTTTCACGTGCATTGTTTACGGCTACGTCACACAAGCCACTGTATTATTAAAATATAGTGCAGGCCACTATACAACATGAAAATAAACACTGCCGTACAGCACTAGTAAGCTCTCTCCCGTAGGATGCTCGTGGAATGTGGATATGTTATATAAGACACTGGGTTTCCAAATACAGCACAACATCGCATATCTGGCTCGTTGGGGGGCTGAGGTTTCCTGGTGGATATGTAAATAATACTGGTCGCGAAAGCCGACGTGTTAAACTGAGGTCGAATACATTGACGTCTGGAGAAAATCTGAATCGGGATTTTCATTTTCACAGATGTCCAGTCGGGGCGGGAAATGGCAGCTACGTTGAGTTACTGGACGAAAATGTGTAGCGGAAGCTGCTTTAAAGTTGGGAGAATCATTGACTGTGCTTTACAGTGGTGTTTCACAAACTTTGTTGGGCTGTGGACCAATCAGCCGATGCAAAAATTTCCACGGACCAACCAGCCCCACCACCCCTCGTGAGAACGCATTCACTTCTCTCTCTAAATACCAACAATACAAAATGATTCATATTACCGGAACATAAAAAACTTTTTTTTAACGCAGATATCAGATTTTTTTTTATATATGATGGCATTGAGATTTTAGGGTTAGGTTAGTTTAATCAGGGTAGATTACCAAGTTTAATTGTTTTCATTAAATATCACGAGTAAAATAGAAATCAATGTCTGGAACGAAAGGTATAATAGTCGTTCTCATTTTTGTCTGGATCAAGCTGCATTTGCATCACAGTCCTGCAGACCCTCTGGAGGCCCTCCGCGGACCACCGGTGGTTACCTGTGACCGCGCTTTGAGAACCACTGCTCTAGAAGTAAAGTGAAGGAACGTTAGGTCAACAACCCGTTTATCGCATCTGTGAAATGGCCGGACTTGTGAACGTCTTTAGAAAATGACAGTTACACAGTGCACGACTACCACAAGGGTGGCGGCAGTTAATTGGTTGGGCCTGATGTACGTACGTATGTTGAACTTCTTTCGCACCGTACGTAGCCAACCGTGCTAATCGGAGGTGCGGGATATGCGACGGTCAGATATGCGACACTGTGCTGCAGTTCCTTTGCTTCGATAGGCACTGTTCGTTTGAGTTAGATGGGTCTAGAATCTACGGAACAAATTAAAAAAAGATATATACAGAACCTCATTTAACAAAATATAATCCACTCAGTGCCAGTGGTGGAAATTAAACATTTATATGGCAGGGGATGCTCTATATATAGAGGGCAACCACTCTTTGACCACCCCACAAGGTTGTACTGATTTAATCCACTCCAGAGGGTTGATGGGCTGGGTATTATTCTTATCATTTAAAGAGAGGTAAATGCATTTGGGATATCGCAAAGGGAAACAAGGATAAGTCGTTAATTTCATGCCAGTGGGGTAAATCCTGTTACTTCTAACTGGAAACCCAGTGATAAGTTAGTGGAACCTATAGTAATAGGTTTTTACCCTTTCAACTGGTACAAAACTGACACCTTTATACAAGGGGTCATGTTTGCAATAACCACAACACAAGCAGTCAAAATGCAAACAAAAAGAAACAACTCTGATGATGATAATGATATGCACTGTCCTTGAAGTTGATTGGTCCACACCCGAGACAGCTTTTCTTAGAGCCTAGTCTCCATTGGTGTTGGACCAGATGACGCCAAAAGGTGTCAGTTTTGTACCAGTTGAAAGGGTAAAAACCTATTACTATATTTTGCCACTGGTAAAGGAGGTCTCAGTGTCAGTGGAACCTATGAACACATTTCCACTAAATATTGGTTGCACAGTTATTTTAAAAATAAGCGAGACTAGAATTACTTTGCGCATTTGCAAACACTGCATTCGTTTTTAATTCATAATTACACAGCCTCCTAACACTGCAAAAGTATACCTTTTCTGCACACAGTTTGCATATAATACATATATTAACACAATGAGCAGCTTCAGAGTTTTATACAGCATATTTAAAGTGTGCGCAGAGCAAATGTTTGCATTATTTTTCAGTGAAGAGTAAGCCCTCGTATCAATGTATACATTACGTTGTTGTGTTTTCACCCACAGTGGCATGTCTAGTTAAAGCTATGTTGTATAATATTATCCTCTTTTGAGGAGACGTATAGCCAGTATGGAAGTGTAGGCCAAATGCCATCTCAAAGTGGAACTCTAGAAGTTGTGCCTTTAGTTGAGGCTCATCTGCCAGCAGTGCCATTGAACAATAAGTTACAGTGCTGCACCTTTACCTATATAGTACACATATCGAGGATATCAGGCACCTCACAGTAAGAAGGAAGGTTTCCTCCCTGTGATCTCCATAGCTTTATAACGTACAAAGTACAAGCCAATTAATTGTCCCCTAAACATTTTTGTTCCTTTGCATATTCATTTCTGTTTTAAATAAAACCTTCCTTTAAAAAAAAAAATTTTAATAATTAAATGGTGGGGGGGGGGGGGGGGTCACAAGACATCTGGACCCAACATGTACAGTAATTACTGTTGGCCAAACAGCCAATCAATGTAACAGGACTCTCCTGAAAAACTATTTTTCAGACTTAAGTGTGGCTTTCCTGGGTAAATGAGTCGTTATTATAATTATTGTTATTTACACAAGGACGCTTGTCTGGACTGTGTGGTATGTTATACATTTAGGGCCTAATTATCATGTTCGCAGCTACGATCTCTGCAAATTTGATGTGTATTTAAACAAATGCATTCTCATCTTTCTCACACTGGATTGAGGCCCAGTCATAAACACAATTGGAGACCCAATCCGTTAGTGAATTCTCCGGATCATGAGACGCACTTTTCCCCCGCGTATTATTAAGTAAAAGTTGGGGGTGCACCACATAATTGTCTTCCGAGCGACCGCCATGCATGTGGTGGGGTAAAAGTGTGGGTCCTCCCACCTCATTCAATACGTCTGGCCGATGTGGAAAGAGTCGAACAAAATACATTCAGAGCAGCGTTTTGCAATGCAAGGCGTGCGAGCTACTGGCAGCCTCTGGTGGCCTTTAGGGCAGCCCTTGACGTGCGGCACCCCGACAATTCACAAAGAGTGAAAACACCACCCCATCATCATCGTGCTGCTGTCAAACTCCCAATGGTTTCAAATGTGTGGCGGCCTCACACTGATGTCTTATCGGCGAAAGTGACCCCCCCCCCCCCCTGAAAATGTGTGAAGAACACTGATCTCGAGTCTGGAGGGGCTTTGTCTCGAGCTCCCTCAAGTGAAGGGTCCCTTCCGCCAGCAAGCGGCGTGAGCAAGGCAATTGCAGGGCTGCACCTTTATCTTCTAGCATTTCAGGACAAGACAAATGTAATAGCTTCGTGAGCAAGCCGTGCTTAACACATTACACAAAACAGGTTATCTTTACAATCGGTTTGGCACTGTCCCACAACGGCTCAGCGTGGCAGCTAGATAGAGTTTGCCACGATATGGAGATACGACTATGATGCATCGTACGATCTATGATCCACGATCGTTGTATCGTTCAGATTTGCAACAACAAAAAATCGTCAGATTGGATGATGATTGTTTTTCTCATATGTGTTTTTTTCAAGATGTTATTTTCCTTGACACCATGTTTCCTAAATTACAAAACTCACTTGCAGTTATCAATAAATAGCTACGATCCATGCAGTTATCGCTTTGCACAATGTTTTGTGGGAGTAATTGACAGCATGGTAATCATACAATGTAATCCTATTCGTTGTTCACTTAATTACTTTTGTGTAACCGACATCGATTATTAGTAAGCCTCGTGGCAGTATTTAGTTGAGTGAACTGCAGTTTAAAGACTTTGAAAGTCACCTTTGCTCGTATGCTAAGTACACAAAATGATGTACCTATTTGAAATGCAATTAATTGTGAAACGTAATATTGCATCGTGAAAAATTAGATTGCAGCAACCCTTTTGGACAGTTTTAGATTTTCTATTTTGCTATTAATTCGGGGTAGGATCCCAATTTTTCAATTAAATCGGGTCTAGATACCAAATGTCTGGTGATTGGAAAAAAATATTTAGTACTGAACTGATCCAAAAGCATGACATCATGTCTGCGCTTGTCCCACCAAAAGCGGTGTCACATGGCCATTGTGTGACATCACTTTTGTCAGCACAAAAACACGTTAAACTTTTCCGTAATGCAATCATTTAAATCGTAAAGAGATCCGATACTGTCATTAGAACAAAAATATGAAATGTTGAAATCCGAAACTCATCCCTAATATATCTCCACAGGTGAGAAATTCGAGACGAAAAAAAAATGAGCAACCTACAAACGAATTCGGGAAACGTTTTTCACCAAAATAAAGGCGTCTTTACGATTTGATTTGGCACCGTTCGACAGCAGCTTCCTGCGGCGGTAGGCGATCGCCAGCACCGTGGCAAGGGAGCGGAGGGTGGGGGGGGGGGTCGGTTCCCCCTGCCGAACGTGGTGCATCTCTTGCTGTCGGAAAAAAACGTTGCAAGCAGTGGTCGATTGGTGGCTCAAACTTTTGGTCTGGCGGTGCCGGCACCGCAGCAAGCGGGGTGGGTGCGGTAGGTGGCGAGCATGGCGCCTTGCCCCGAGAGCCACAACGGCTACCGGCACCGGCCATGGCGATCACTCAGCTGCAGTCGGTGGTTCCCGCGTGACTCCGGTGCCCCTTCGATCACACGATGGTCTCCAGCTTGCGATGGCCGGCACCGCAGTCAGGGGGTGGCGGGGAAGGTGGCGATGAGTCACGACGGCTACCAGCGCCGGCTCTGACGATCACTCGGCTGGAGTCGGCAGTCCCCGTGTGGCCCTGGCGCCCCTTTCGATCACAGGATGGTCTCCAGCTTGATTCCCTTGGCAGCGGGGAGGTTGGGGAGCATGGCCAGCTCGCCTTCCAGTGACACGGCCCGCGTGGTCGCCCCGTCCGGGGACAGGTGGTGCGCGCTCCACACCGGAGTGGTCAGGTGGTTCCATCGCTGTGGCGGTGAGTGGACGTGAGTGGACGTGGGTGGTGAGGTGTGGCAAGGAGTAGAGGTGAGTGGTTGGGCGTAGAGGCGAGTGGTGCGGCATAGAGGTGAGTGACAGTGAGATCGGTGACAAAGAGGAGGGGAAGGTCAGAGAACAATGGAAAACAGAAAACAGTTGTTAGGATTTATGACATGTATGTCCGCGTGGCTCAGAGGTCAGATCACTGAGCTGACAATGTGATCATTTCAAGCGTGCATTTCTCCATGCTTCTCTGCACTCTTTTCAGTTTTTGTTCAATTGCACTTTTTGCTATTACTAGTACACAAGGCATTTTGTTCTGCTCTGTAACAAAGCCCAAGCATTGTTTCATAATGGGCACGGTCTCGACACGCACAGGGAGGGAGGGAGGGAGAGAGGAGAAAGCTGCAGGCGATCGTAGGACACGACTCCTTGCGGTAGGGACAAGTTTAGAATGCACAACACGTGCGGGGACCAACACTGTGCCGGCCATTCATCACGCGAAAGCCCGCAGCGGTCAAAGTCGGAGACACTGCGGCATCGCACACAGCAACGGAGTTTATTTAACCCGCGCGGTGTTAATCCCCGTCCAACGAAATTAGTGGCTGAAAATATTCGCCGACGTTAGTGGCGCTCTTATCATTTCAGTCGACGATGACCGCTGGGGTGGACGAAAATCATCGAGGGTGATGATGCTTAAGATTGGCTGCCTGCACGAAAAAAACACGCAAAGAGCACCACTAAAGTTCCGCGGGAGGTTTTCCGTCGACTTGACAAGGTCTGTGACTTGCCCATAAAAGTTTTTTTTGGGTTAGATCGCGTAACCCCCAAATAAACCTGTGTTATGGATGATATTGGTCGCGAAAGCCTACGTGTTAAACTATGACTTACACAGGCGTGCGTACGGCAGCGAAGTTCTGCAGAGAAGTTTCAAATGTGCTCGGGGAGCGCTAAGCTGCACTTTGCTGCGACAAAACACGCTAAAAACACACTAAAACACGCTAAAAACACACTAAATACATGCTAAACATTGTAGGTTTGGTGGTCCTATGTCGCTCTTGCAGATGAGACGTGTCCCGGTCTCTTGCGTCCTCACCTTGTTAAACCAAATAAAACTCGCAATACCCAACACGAAACAAATGCCTTCCTAACACCGTGTGCATTGTGGCTTTAGTAACCTGGGGTAGGGGACACGGAGGTGGGGGGGGGGGGTACATGAACCAGTGACCTTGATTGGGACATCTGTGAAACAGCTTAATAGCTATACTCCTTGGTTCTTTCGGTAAAGTCACGTAGGTAGAAAAAAATAATAGATCACGACGTTTCGATCGCAACACAAGCAATCGTCTTCAGAAGCTTGTGTTGTGATCGAAACGTCGTGATCTATTATTTTTTCTACCTACGTGACTTTACCGAAAGAACCAAAGAGTATGGATTCCTGCAGTCACGAAAGCTTCAAATCAAGCTTAATAGCTCATCGGATTCCTGCAGTATAAATAAATATTCTAATTCCGAAAAAAAATATATATATATATTTTGATTCTAGAGGGGGGTTGGTGGGGGGGATTAGCTGGCCACCATACTGAACATGAACTCACCTCCCGCAGTGAGCCCTTGGCATACGCCAGTCGGCAGAGCGCGACCGCGGGGATGCAGAGCATCGACGTGAGCGCCATGGCCCAGCCGAGCGCGTCGCCCCACCACGGGTACACGTACGTCTTGTTGTACGTCAGCCGCTTGTAGTTCAGCAGGTTGAAGAGGAAGATACCCTGCGGCGTGGGTAGAGGGGAGTATAAACCATCACGTGAACTGCGGTCATCCTTGCAGCGGCAGCAGCAGCTTTTGGCTGGCATCGAACAAAGGCAGTCAGAGCATCACGCGTTTTCAGATGCGCTTCTGTGGCTATCTGAAATGCTCTTACTTCCGATATTAGAAAGCCACTGGAGCTGTGCAACTTTTAAATCTAGACTGAAAACTAATTTCTTTAGCCTCACCACCTCTACATAACAAAAGGCTCAGTCCCATTTACACGCACCTTTACATCAGCCTCACCTTAGCAACCCTTTTCAACCAGTCTACACAACAAAGGCTCATTCCTAACAGCGTGCTTCAGCCGCACCGAACCTCACAATAATAATATCCAGGGCCTACCTTGGCTCCTCCCACCCTCAACCAGTATATATACAAGGACTGTTTTCTTGGAATTTCTCTTACTTGATACAGCTATCGTGCTGTGACGGTTCCACCTGAAGACGGGGGCTTGTGTTGCCTCTGAAACGTCGTGATTTTTATTTTATTTTTACTTTTTATTTTACTTTTATTAATTGAAATTTTAAAAAAAATTACCTACGTGACTTTACCGAAAAAACCTAAGAATATGAATCCTTGCAGTCACGAAAGCTTCAAATCTAGAATTAATTTCTTTAGAACTGATATTTGCGTCTAGTTTGTTGTCCTTCACGAGCACCTCCGATTAGCATGGTTGGCTACGTACGGTGCGAAAGAAGTTCAACATACATAAGTGCACCGCGTGTGGCGGTAAAACATGCGAGTAGACCTCACTGCAGCTCTCGGGACAACAATCCAGTAAACACGGAATATTGGGCCAACGTTGGGTCAACGTTGGGCCGACGTTGCCACGTTTACTGGGATTGCAGGCTGCGAACCTTCCCCATGGGCCAGGTTATGCTCACAATTAGAGCCTTAAAGTGGATTGAGATGAGGGTTACGATCATTCGTCCTGCAAGGCAATGGGCTCATAGAAACACAAACACAGCATCGTCAGCACTGAGAATTGTATCACGTATGTCCTGGTAGCTATCAAGACTGGTTTGACGTTTTATTTGGTAAATTCCTGAGCCATAATCCACCAGGCACAGAGTCAGAACGGTTAAAATAAATGCAATAAAGTGTTGAAAACCATGTATTTTTGCCTGGAGGCACTGTTCTGTACCTCCTGTTTTATTAAACTAAACTAACTAAACTTTTTATTTTACCAGGTAAGGCCCACAGAGCTTATGTGGCTCTTTTTCAGAAGCGACCTGGTCACAAATGATAGCTCAACGAAGTGGCTTATCATGTGGGAATTTATAGCATCCAAATACTCTAAATGCTTGTTTCTAAATGTGGAGGGGAAAAACCGGAGGACCCGGAGAACTATACACGAGGCCGGAGGGAGAGAGACATGCAAACTCCAAATACACAGGCATCACGGTCGAGTGTGAACCCATGACGACCTTCCTGTGTACCAGGCGAGGGAGTTAACATAATGGTGACTTGGTCAGTCACTAGTCAGTCACCTTTAACAAGACCGCAACTTTTATCAGTGACAAATCCTTACTCTGGTTTGCAAGCGCAGTGTTAAGTTTTTGCGTTTCAGCATCCCATGCTGAATCTTTACGGGAAAAGTCCTGACATCGAAGCAAGACTTAAGATCTAACTTTCCTTTGGTGTACCTGTGTGCGTGCGGTGCTCACCACGCAGATGCAGGGCGTCAAATAACACCAACACCACTTCATCCAAGGCACCGGGTGGTACCCGATCATTCGGGCGATGTCATTCATGAAGCGGTCACTGCCTGCACAGCGAGACCCGGGCACGCAGTGTCAGGGTGCGTGGTGGTGAAGTGAGGACAGAGGAACAAACAGATCGTTATTATCGACAAACGTAGAATTAACTTCCTGCACAAATTAGCATATATAAATTAAACACACGTACTTGTGGTGAACATGCAAACAAAGCACGTTTGTTGCATGTTCGTTTGCGTGTTCACCACAAGTACTGTGTGTGTGGTTAATGCAAACTTGATTCTTTGCAAAATGTTTCTATTTGGTGTTTGAACATCTTAACACCTGCTGTTTTATTGCCAGAAAGGATAAACCCTATTCTTATTTTTTCACAATCCTGAGTCTCTCTGTACGACAAACCACTGTTGACTTCTCCACAAGCAGGCAGTCTTTTTTAATCGACGCCAGAGGGAACAAAGTTGGTCACTTGCATCGCGCGGCGCTTTCAGATGCGCTTCCGTGGTCGTCTGGAACGCTCTTCCTTCCGATATTAGACAGCCCTTGGAGCTATGGCAAGTTTAAATCGAAATAGAAAAAAACTCATTTATTTATAACTCCTCTTTGTTTTTAGTTCGTTGTCCTTTCCCCCGCACCTCCGATAGGCACGGTTGGCTACGTACGGTGCAAATGAAGTTCAACACACGTACACACATAATGGGGTCAATGCAATGGGCATCACAACCGCGTAACAGGATTTGAACTCGCATAACCTTCCCATTGCGTGGTCGCCTGCTCTACCGCTGAGCCACGCGCGATCCTTGCTCACAGCGCAAAGGTGGTGACAAACAACATCCAGGGGACAGCAGTGGCAGTGGTGGCCGGTGGGTAAAATATATCGCTCAGCGGGACAGGGAGGAGGCCTTCCACAATGCGGTGAAACGTGGACGCCGATTGGCGCAACTGACCTGCGTCTCAGACCCACGCGTGTCTGATGATGATGACATGGAAACCCGAGGGAGGGAGGGAGGAGGGAAGTGGAGCAAGCAGAAGGAGGGGGTATGTGAAGTTTATATTTACAGCGATCCCCAACCTTTTTGGCACCAGGGACCGGTTTCGTGGAAGACAATTTTTTCACGGACGGGGGGCGGGGGTTCATCATTGGGTCTTTCCCCCTTTTCAAAGAAGCTCTCCAGCGACGATTGTTTTTGACTCATGTTGGCTAGGGGTTAGCAGCTTGTGGGCTCACCTAAATTGTGACTGAGACAAGTGCGGGAAAGAGGCGCGGATGGAAGTGGTAAATAAAATAATGGGGGCGAGCCACGCGCGGACTCACCGCTCTCACCTCCTGCACCACCCCTGGTTTAAAAGCTACATTGTAAGCAAGTAAGTATTAACGATACATTTATATTCTTGGTTCTTTCGGTAAAGTCACGTAGAAGGGAAATAATAAAATAATAAAAATATAAAACAATAGAAATTCTCACGACGTTTCGACTGCAACACAAGCAATCATCATCAGGTGTGAAATCCACAGCAATACATTTTTTAAAAAGTGGCAGTTTTTTTCTTAACGTCAGTACCACGGACAGCGATTTGGCAGTTGGTCAGATGGACGAGTCCATCTATGTTCGGAAAAGAGGAGGGGGGAGAAGAAGAGAATGGAATACGGTCTGAAAGTCACCGTAAGCGTGAACACGATCAATTAAGACCCGAAATGGTTAATCAAATCTTTCCAATGATGGCTAAGCCAGAATCTATCTTCTCGGTTGAAATTGTCTCTGTGTTTGTATATGTGAATAGCCTCATGTGACGGGGTGGTGGTGGGTTAACGAAACATTTATATTTACGCGATCTAACCCAAAAACATTTTATTTTTCGATTTAAAATTCCACCGCCACTTTTTTCAAATTCTCTTGCTGTGGTTTTCACACCTGATGACGATTGCTTGTGTTGCAATCGAAACGTCGTGAGAATTATATTGTTTTATTTTTTATCATTTTTTTATTTCCCTTCTACGTGACTTTACCGAAAGAACCAAGAATACCCAAAACTTTTATTATTAATTATTATGAGGTTAAGTATTGTGAAGTTTTTTTGGGGATTTTCACCTCCCCACGATTGGGGCCTGGCACTACTGGCCCATCGTGACTAGCCACCACTCTTTCTCTTTTTTTACGATCAAAAAAAACTTCTCTGCCTTCACGATGCTCCAAAGAGGCAATGTTCTCTCTTTTATCTGAATGTAAAACATGGGTAAAGGTGCAGCCCATAAATAGCTTGCTCACGCGACTGCCGGTGGAAGAACCTCCACTATCGGGAATTCTACAAAGAGCCCCTTCTATTGGTTAATTGGCCAACCTCTTCCACGTTGTCGTACCCACACGCGACCTTCCCATCGACTGCGGTCGCTCTCCGAGACTCAAACGGGGTTTGCCTGCTGGACATAGGCGTCGCGAGTGCTTACCGTAGACCCATGCCACCACAATGCACTCCCAGCCAACCTGCCACAGCAGGGTCATCCCACTCGCCGAGTAGTAGTCGAACAGCTGAAACACGTACATCCCTCCCTGCCGCACACACGGAGAGGGTCGCGGTGAAGGTGGCGATGACCTGCAGCCAGTGATTAATCTCAGCCGGAATGGTCCAGAATGCTGTTCCGGGAATTACTTTGACACAACCTTAATTTGCCCTAAACCTGTTCACGGGATGATGTGAATATAGGTTACAATAATAATGGATTGTTGTGGAGAGGCGCACCTTGTACTCAAGTGGTAGTGCCTTACGCCGATACTACTTACTCCAAGCCAACCCAGTGAGCGGTGTTCCGGAAAATATCGAGTGAGAAAGTAAATCCTGGCTGCGGAGCAGTTGAGGTTCCTCGGTTGACTGGGACAGTTTTGGTGTCCACCCTAAAAACATTTGTGAAGTTCAAGATTTTGGTTCAACAAAACATTGTCTGGCCTCAATCAAGCTCAACTCATGATTTTGGCAAAGGGCGGAGATATCTGAGTAGTGGGTGGCGCTATATAGGTAGTGGGCGGAGTTACCTGGGTATTGGGCGGAGCTACTTTGGTAATGGGCGGAGCTACCTGGGTAGTGGGCGGAGCTACCTGTGTGGTGGGCGGAGCTACTTTAGTAGTGGGCGGAGCTACCTGGGTAGTGGGCGGAGCTACCTGTGTGGTGGGTAGTATTGGGCGGAGCTACCTGAGTAGTGGGTGGAGCTACCTGAGTGGTGGGTGGAGCTACCTGAGTGGTGGGCGGAGCTACCTGAGTAGTGGGTGGAGCTACCTGGGTAGTGGGCGGAGCTACCTGTGTGGTGGGCGGAGCTACTTTAGTAGTGGGCGGAGCTACCTGGGTAGTGGGCGGAGCTACCTGTGTGGTGGGCGGAGCTACTTTAGTATTGGGCGGAGCTACCTGAGTAGTGGGTGGAGCTACCTGAGTGGTGGGTGGAGCTACTTGAGTGGTGGGCGGAGCTACCTGAGTAGTGGGCGGAGCTACCTGAGTAGTGGGCGGAGCTACCTGAGTGGTGGGCGGAGCTACCTGGGTAGTGGGCGGAGCTACCTGAGTAGTGGGCGGAGCTACCTGAGTGGTGGGTGGAGCTACTTTAGTAGTGGGCGGAGCTACATGAGTAGTGGGCGGAGCTACCTGGGTGGGTGGAGCTACTTTAGTAGTGGGCGGAGCTACCTGGGTAGTGGGCGGGGCTGTCTGAGTGGTGGGCGGGGTTAGGTAGAGTAGGCGGGGCTAATTAAGTGGTGGGGGGGTTCTAAGGAAAGCTGTCTCGGGTGTGGACCAATCAACTTCAAGGACAGTGCATATATTATCAGAGTTATGTTTTTGTTTGCATTATGGCTGCAGGTATTGTGGTCTATGCAACCATGACTCCTTGTAAAAAAGGTGTCAGTTTTGTTGCCAGATAGAAGGGTAAAAAAACAATTATAATATTTTTTTACTGCCAAATGAGGTTCCAATGGTGGTGGGGGGGGGATTCTTAAGGAACGGAGGTCACTCGCTGTATACGCAGGAAGACATTGCAGTCACTCACAAATGGAGTTGTTCAGCCAAACATCCCTACTTAGTTGGCCAAAGAGCTTTGGGGGAAAGCGTCCGTGTCGGTTCTGGGCTGCCTTATCGCTTAATCTGAGGGAAAACTGTGCACCGTTACAAGTTTCATTTTTTAAGTATTAACTTTCAGCCTCTCAGAAACGGACATCTGTAAAAAAGCACTTAACAGCTCCCCGGATTCCTCCACTATAAAATAAATATTCTGAGAAACGTAGAAACGTGGTCGCTTGTGCACTAACACTTGCTATTAGCGCCCCAAACAGCTGGGAGTGCTGGTGTGCCTCATCGAGTTCGGATAGAAGTCCGTACGGCAGGCTCGCTGGCGGTGTTACCCCCACGATGCCCAGCCAACTTTGTCCTTAACCCCCAGTGCTTATATTTGCTTGTGTAAGGCCGATGACCTTGCGCACGTGCACACAACCCGCAGCGTGATTTCACCGATTATTAGACTAAATAATCCTTATGGCGGTACCCCGGGTGGCCAAATAATACAAAATGGCCGAGGCAATTAAATACAGGGTGTTTCAAAACGATGGACCCGATTTTAAATCGCTATATCTCTGCAACCACGAACCGCCCTTGAATGAAACTCTTACCACTTGAAAGGGCGGGGAATAGAGTTTAAAATGATTACCACTCGATGCCTCTCCCAGCCCACAAACAGCCTCAATCAAGCTCAACTCAGAAACTAAGCAAGGATATTGCTTAGATGGGCAACCACCAAGCACATAAAACGGGTCTTGTGGGCAGTTAAGAGGGCATCACAGCAGAATCAATTGTTGTTCTGGACTGCCCTCACCTTTACCAACCTGCAATCACCAGCGTGGTGAAGTATGGTGAAATAACATTCACTGTCTGCACGGAATGGGGAGGGATGTCTTCCCTCGTCCAGTAGTGGATTGACAAACGGGCTGTACGGGTACATGGATGCCTACTCTTGAGAAAGGTTTTTCAAATTTTTATCTTTCGTGTTCGCTTTTGGTAATCCCCGTAAATGGCACCGGATGGCCGTGACTCCGTGAGTACTGGCGGTGGTGTTAGCGGTTAGCGCGCTGCACTACGAACCTGGCAACCCGAGTTCGAATCCCGCTTACGGCCAACACCAGTGACGATTATCTGAACCGGTCCTGGGCCTCCCCTAGGTCGACTCGGCCTCAAATGAGTACCTGGTGCGGTGAGCAAACATCACCACTCGGGATACAAAGGCGGCCTATCGTGGTGCTGACCACCCACCCCCTCGTGTGCCATAGGTGCTCGCTAACAGCACTTGCCCCAACAGTCTGTTAAGGCTATACAGTATGCCGGATCTTTGTCTTTGTCTGGCTGAACAACCGATAATGCTAGCCGAGCCAAGTAGTGTCATCTGGCAGCGTAAGTCTTACGTCGGTGATCATGGAAAAGGCGAAAAGGGAGGAGATCATGCTGTAGATGGCCACAAAGATCTCACGGCAGTAGCCATTACTCAGCCGGGCTGGGAACAGGTCCGAAATTCCCGTCACGAAGCCCTCCACTCCTACAAACTGCAAACACAACAACCACATGCACGCACACGAGACACGGCAGTGAGCATCGCGGTCAAAGTCAAGTGAGGCGGTGCTGATCTCCCATTTACAGCCCCTGAGCCAGTTGGTGTAATTTGAACATTAATATGTCAAGGGGCGAGTCTACCCAAAAAAAAAAAAAAAAAAAAAAATCACCGTTAACTTTCCCACAAATTGGAATTATTTTATCGACCCCCCTCCCCCCGAAGGCATGATGGGCAGAGTCAACGCCCAACCAGCGTTTGAACTCGCAACCTTCCGATTAACCGCTGAGCCACCTGGCTGGTTGTAATTGGCTGTTGGTGGTGATGCATGGTCACGAACCGGTGCTTAATTTGACCTCCCCCGCACCTGCGATTAGCATGGTTGGCCACGTGCGGTGCGAAAGAAGTTCAACGTACGTACAGTACATATATCGTGGAAGAGTAGGCCAAAACACCCTTCTAGAGGGGCTCTCTAAGAGTTCCCGCGAGTGGAGGCCCTATCCGCCAGCAGTACTGTGAGCGGGCTATTTCAGGATGGATAAATAACCGCAACAATACTGCAGGCGGGCACGTCTGGGATGGTGTGGTGACGTCACCGCCACTGAGTGCTGAACGGGAGTTTTTTTTTTATTGTCGCTGATGCAAGCTGTAAATCCAGCGCGGTCATTTAAAAAAAAAGGACTGGCTAAACATCCAGTGCCTAATAAAAGCATGAAAAAATGCGCCGGAAGTTATGGGCACGCTTCTTGCTTCTCCACCAAACTGTGGGTGTTCCTCTCCCTTGACAGGCAACCCATCATAACTATTAGTGATTTTACACGCACACATACATTTCCAACGCTTCATTGTATTCATTGTTCTGACGGTGCTGAGTGAGTCTGTGCCTGGCGATTTTTAAAAATTCCATCAGGCTCTGTAAAATAAAAATCACTCAGTGAGGCTTTACCGAATACATAAACGGCATCTATTTTTTTTTTTTACAAACAAGATAGAACTCAACTAAACCATTTGATTTTACCAGGTAAGGCCCACTGAGCTATATAGCTCTTTTCCAGAAGCGACCTGGCCACAATTGATAGCTCAACAAAGTGTCTTATCGCGTGGAAATTTATAACAACCAAATCCTCTGAGCGCATGTTGATTCTAAATGCGCAGGGAAATACCGGAGGACCCAGAGATAAATCCACGCGACCATGGGCGAGAGAGACAATGCAAACTCCAAATATACAACAGGTGTCAGTGTCGGGATCGAACCCACGACCTCCTGCATACCAGGCGAGGCAATCAACATCTCGCCACCGTGGCGCCCCAACACACTCACCTGACTGTCAAGTCCAAGCAAGAGTAACATGAAGAAAAACAGGGCAGCCCACACTGGAGCGACAGGCATCAGGGACACGGCCTTGGGGTATGCAATGAAAGCCAGCCCAGGACCTGGTGTCCGTAAAGAAAGCAAACATTGAGGTTAGCGGGAGTTCAACGCGAACAATATCTATCCTCAGTGTATAAACAGAAAGGCCAGTGGAAGAAGCCCTGAGACCCAATGTACCCTTCTAAAATCACGAGAACACCCATAATAATCACAGCAGAGCAACCAGTAACCTATTGCATTTCATCTCCATTACTTAGAACACTGTGACCTGACCTGTGAATAGACTCGTGCGTTCGTATTCGAGCGAGGAATGGACAACTGCGGAGCCACCCTTCGATTATGAATCGATGTGTGATTTGAATCCGGCGGTATTACTGCGAGTGTATTAACCATAAAGCACTCTGACGTTGAACAAAATGAGTAGGTCATTGTGTACAGCACCATGGTCCAAATTTTGCCAAATAATAAGAAATGACTCACAAATCACTCAGTTGGGATTGCATTTCAGAATAGTCGCCTGCTCCTGGCAGACTAATGCCATTCGTAATAAAGGTTTTGGGGTTAATGCCAGATTGGTGGCCAGATGCTGAGTCAATTTGTGCCCACGGGGATAGCTACCTGGGGGAAGTGCCCTTTCAAACATGTGAGATGCAATGTGACGTCAGTCGCTTCCCGAATGTTGAAGTGCTCTGATACACCCCAGGGTAAATGGGTCTCTATGACAAACAAATTATTATTAGTAGAATAATCGTTTATCATAATTAAGGCTGATTGGGATCCAATTAAGACACTCAGGGGTGACTGAGAGACAAGACGAAGTGATTTGGGAAAACAGCACTTGAATATGAAAAGTAGCACATCGGTGGCATGGGAGGAAGAAAACAGTCAATCAACCGCAGACAATACACGTGGTTCAGGAACGTCGGCAACGAAAGAGAAAATGAAACGACGTTTGAAAAGTGCGCAAAGATGCATCGGGAGATGAGTCAAGTGGAAGGGAATCGCAAGGAATAGGTTACAAACGCAAACTTGTATTTATTTAAATAAATAGAAGTGGGTGGGCCTGTGTGGGACACATCGCTGGAATTGATGATGGCATTTCTGATAACGACTGTGACGGAATGGCAGTCCAAGGAAAAAACGCACACCAAAGGGATAACTACCACGAAGACGGAGCGCGGTGAGATCGGTCCGTGCGCAGGGGTGAGATGGATTGTGTCATCGCAGGGCCGTGAGGAATTTAGGTGGAATAGGGAGGCCTTAATTCAGCACTGTTAAACCAGCGCCTCTGATTAGCACGTTTGGTCTTCTTGGTTCTTTCGGTAAAGTCACGTAGAATTGAAATAATAAAATAAATAAAATAAAACAATACATTTATTATTATTATGTTATAATTTAAATTCTACGTGACTTTACCGAAAGAACCAAGAATATGAATCCCTGCAGTCACGAAAGCTTTGAATCGAAATTTAGCACACTTGGCTACGTACTGTGCGAAAGAAGGTTCAACATACACACATACATACGGGTAGTCACATACAGGAAAGTATCCCACGTGGGGCTCGCTGGGGACCGAGCTATGGACAGATGTGTGAACAGGTCGGATACGTGAACATCGGTGGAAAAGTGACCGTTACACCGTAACGGTGTGGTGGGGGGGTGGGGGGCAATCGATCTGTCCCAGAGGATATTTGACAGTCGGATATGCGACGTCGCACCGCAGCTACACACGCGTGTGACGTCCAAGGACCCCGTGGTGTCCCTCACCTGATTCCGCCACCTTGGATATGTCGACCCCTTGCTCGGCCGCCATGAAGCCCAGGATGGAGAAGACGACGAAGCCGGCGAAAAAACTCGTGCCGCTGTTCACCACCGCCAGGATGTACACGTCTCTGCGCGAGAGGGAGGCCACACACACAGCAGCGGGCGGCGCAGCACTGGCTGCAGCTCATCGACCACCTTCACCGTGACCCTCTCCGTGTGTGCGGCAGGGAGGGATGTACGCGTTTCAGCTGTTCGACTACTACTCGGCGAGTGGGATGACCCTGCTGTGGCAGGCTGGCTGGGAGTGCATTGTGGTGGCATGGGTCTACGGTAAGCGCTCGCGACGCCTCTGTCCAGCAGGCAAATCCCGTTTGAGTCTCGGAGAGCGACCGAGCAGAATCAATGGGTACACCGCAGTCGATGGGAAGGTCGCGTGTGGGTACGACAACGTGGAAGAGGTTGGCCAATTAACCAATGGAAGGGGCTCTCTGTAGAATCCGTCATCGCCGTTGCTCGCCGGGCGGTGGTGGCTACACCGCCGATGCGCGTGGATGCCTGCAGTCCAGCACTGTGGAGGCAGCAGCGAGGGGTTTGTGGATTGCCCCACAGATATCGGTAAAACTCCCTTCCCGTGGGGCCATCGAGGAGGAGTCATGACCCCCGGATTGCCACGAAAAGGCGGGACAGCAAAAAATGTCCACTCCACCTGTTCCGTCTGTATGGGATAGAGTGTTTCCCCATAGCACACGTGCATTTCCTCAGGGTTCTCTGGTTTTCTTCCTACGTGTAAACACTCGTTAATTGGCCTTAAACACCTTCATATTTAGAGGACTGCAGAGCTTGGTAAATCGTTAGCACCGGCTCACTGCGTGGCTGCCCTCCTGCTTATCCGTGGTTCCTCGCAACCTTTGAGTGGTTCTCTGTCTTCGAGAGTTAGTGAATACTGTGATGTCACCATCCCAACAACAACCACACTGCAGGTCATAACACTTTAATACTGGTTGCAACCTCCTGGTTACACCAGCCCACAGGGGATTCTTGTGTCTGTCCGTCCATCGTGCAGGGAGGGGATGGGTGGGGAGGGAGGGGCTGGTTGGGGAGGGGAGGGTGGGGAGGGGCTGGGTGGGGAGGGTGGGGAGGGGCTGGGTGGGGGGCTGGGTGGGGAGGGTGTGGAGGGGCTGGGTGGGGAGGGTGGGGCTGGGTGGGAGGGGTGGGGCTGGATGGGGAGGGGCTGGTCACCCCATGGTGCCCTTATAAAACTCAACGTTTAACCTACTCACGCTGGCTTGTGCCCGCCCTCACAGTCGGGCATATTTGCGGAATACACCACGCCGCCGTTGACCCTGGCCATTGACCGAGCAACCCAACGTTCATACCAGCTCCCTCTGCAGGAATGTGTATTATGCGTCTTTGCTCACACTGCTCCACTTTGGAATTCCTTCCCGTCATCTATTTTCCTCAATTTCTGATTACTTTTCTCAATTCAAGAGCTGTGAACTCTCATCTATTACCACTTTAATAGTGCTGGTTTTTGTTGGCTGCCTGGCATTTTGGGGCTTTGTGCCGGTGCTCAGCAACTGTGTTAAATACACTTTTGGGAGAATGACTTGACCAAAAACACGTTCTTACAACCTTTCTGAATTCAAGAGAGATTAACCATCATCTACCGCAACTTCAATCGTGTTATCCGTTGCTGCTGCTGTTACGGATCGCTGCTTGGCGCCTGTGCTGAGCTACTGTGGATAAACAAAACATTTGATGCAAAAAGCTGGAACGTCTTGCACCATAAACTGATATCATTGCTTCGTTTCCACAGTTGTTGTCCGATTGGGCTTCTTCTCCTGTCGTTCGGGACATTCTGTCGCCAGTCTCATGCTACAACCACCACCCCGACTACGCACGTCATGTGCTGGCAAACTGAGATTACCTATTCTTATCTCGACAGTCAGCTGGAACTTACGACAGCTGGATCCAACGACCGAAATGCATCGCTGATACGTCAGCTTCTTGGAACGAATGCATCGATGCTAAATTTATTCTAAGTGGCCTCCAGATTAAATTTCATGTTTTGATTTTAAGTAGGCCGCACGCAAATGTAATAATTATAAAGACGTTATGTGCGCAAAACAAATGCAGCTTTCTCTTGTCTGCTTTAATTTCATTGCGTTTGAATTGTTGAGTATGCACTGCTGATTTATTCATTCTTCAATGTATTGTTGATTGTTTTACTCAGTTTGGCAAAAGTTTATATATTGATTGTATAATTAAATGCTGCTCTGTGCTCTGGTACGACCACTATCAGTATAGAGCTTCCAGAATGTTTGCTTCTTTGCCTTAAACAAAAAATAAATGTCAATTGCGCATGTAACATGGACACGTACAGCCCTTCTGTCAATCCACTGCTGGATGAGGGCCTCCCCGTGGCGTGCATGTCCAACTGGACATCTGTGAAAAAGAGCTATATGGCTCATCGGATTCCTTTAGTATTCTGATTTCACCATACTTCACCACGCTGGTCAGTGCGCGTGTTTGTCAGGGAGTACAGAGCAACAATGGATTCTTCTGTGCTGCCCTCCACTGCTCACAACCACCTGTTTTATATGCTCGGAGCTTGGTTTATTTGGCAAAGTGTCTCGATCTGCCTCTGGTGACCGAATTCCAGATTCAAGCCCCCTAGATCTCAGCGGTGTCAGCTCAATGCCCTGACTAAGCCTCCTGTGCGAGTTGTCCACTTAAGTTGTTTCTTAGCAGCACATCCTGACCCTAATGAGGCTGATAGAATGGCAGCACCGTGAGCTGGTGTGTGTCCACACTACTCTCAAAGAAGGATAGCTAAACATAACCCAGAATTATCATCCCTCGAGCGCCAACGTGGGTTGATCGTCGTCAAAGAGAGTCGAAGTGATTTCCTGCTCAAATGAGCGTTTGAGGCATTGATGCTCATCTCCTGCTTACAGCCCTGAGCCAGTGGTGGAACTTCCCCGTTCCTATGGCAGGGGCGATTTTATTCACATGTATATTGAACATACGACAACCCGATGTTGACTTCCCCACAAAGCGGAACTTATTTTATTCACTCCAGAGGAATGATGGGTTGAGTCAAACCCCCAACCAGAATTTAACTCGTAACATTCCAATTAAATTTCGATTTAAAGCTTTGGTGACTGCAGGGATTCATCTTCATTGGTTCTTTCGGTAAAGTCACGTAGAAGGGAAGTAATACAATAATAAAAATAAAACATAATAAAATAATTCTCACGAAGTTTTGGCCACAACGCAAGCAGCCGTCCTCAGGTGAAACCAGGTCTGTCGAGGCGACAGACGCTGTCGCTTGCGTTGTGGCCGAAACGTCGTGAGAATTATTTTATTATGTTTTATTTTTATTATTTTATTACTTCCCTTCTACGTGACTTTACCGAAAGAACCATGAAGAACATTCCGATTGTGCGAGCCGCTAGCTCTATCACTGAGCCACCTGGCTGATCATAGTGCCGTAGCTATTCATCTAATTGTGTTACAAAGGCAGGTTCTTGAAGTATCATCATCATCAGCCATCGTTTATCTTCCCATACCATCAATCGATCATGGGGGTTTTGTTTGACTATACTTCACCACACTCATCAGCGCTGGTTGTATATATGTTGGGGCGCCATGGTGGCGAGATGTTTACTACCTCACTTGGTATACAGGAGGTCGTGGGTTCGATCTCTACCCTGATGCCTGGTGTATATTTGGACCTTTCTCCAGGCCCTCCGGTTTTTTCCCTCCACATTTAGAATCAACAACGTGAGTTTAAAGTAGTTGGCTGCTATACATTTCCACGTGACAGGCCACTTCGTTGAGCTATCATTTGTGGCCAGGGCGCTTCTGAAAAAGAGCTACATACGATTCGTCTCGCGTCTGGATGAGCGCTCAACTGCCGTGGATGCCCCTATCCAGTCGAGCAGTGGTTCTCAACCAGATATCCCCGCCTTGTTGAATTTTAGTTTCAACCGAGGACCCCCTGGCTTGCCTGACCCAACATGGTTCAGAGACATAAATGTATGAATAATGAACGTCGATATTTGAACAAGTTGTCCATTTTGGGAGGTATCCCAACGAGCTAGTTAACTGCGAGCGGACGCTCTGCGCACGTGACGTAATTTGTTTGCGCTCACTGGTTACTCTTGGAAACCACATTGTTTACGATTAATGAGTTTAGAAATGTGTTTTATATCGTCCTAGGTTACCGTATGGATTTACATTTGTACGTAGTAATTTTATATTGGCAGGTTCAAACATGATTATTCACCAACGACTCTCATGTCCGATATAATTTCACACGTTTACAAATCACCTAACGCTACTGCCCTGGGACATTGCCACGTAGCCTCAGGGTTCCGCGTAACCCGTGGGTTGAGAATCACTGAAGCCGAGCGACTCAGGTGTACACCAGGGCAGGCAACGCTTCTCCACCACGGCTGCAAATATCGTACGGGATGGCTTCTTTGAGCCATCGCCAACGGGAATCGGCAGACAAATGCCAGCGCCTAGAGACGCTTACAGGGTGAGCGGCAGGGGTTGGATACCGACAGACGGGGCATATTAGGAGATTAAACCTGGGCCGTTTGCACTTTGTGCACTAGATGCTAATCCGCATGTGGCACACTCGAGGAGTGTTCTTAACGAGGTGAAAACCCTTTTGGGGCCGTCCATACTGACGTCACGCACCTAGTGGGGGGGGGGGGGGGGGCAGATATTTGTGACGATGTGTGACGGGGGGGGGGGTTTGAGAAATGTGACGTCACATGAAAATGCGCAACTTTAAATAAATATAGACAACACGTTCTACTTAATTAAATAGACTTTTTAATAAATGTTTTCTCCTACAACATCAGAGTGCAGCGCCACATTAAATGCGCACTACAATGAGCTCTCATACTCTGATGGTGCATTGCCTTTGAGTTGTGCGCCTTTTGGCGTCATCTGGTCCAACCCATTTGAGACTAGGCTCTAAGGAAAGCTGTCTCGGGTGTGGACCAATCAACTTCAAGGACAGTGCACATTATCAGAGTTATGTTTTTTGTTTGCATTATGACTGCAGGTATTGCGGTCTATGTAAACATGACTCCTTGTAAAAAAAAAGGTGTCAGTTTTGTTGCCAGATAGAAGGGTAAAAAAAACAATGATCGATTTGAAGCATGTTTTTTTTTGGGGGGGGGGGGGGGCAGAGCTTTGTGACGTCATATTTGAGGAGGGGTCTGACTTTTTGTGACGCCGTGTGACGAGGGGGGGGGGGGTCAAAAATCGTCCAAAATCGCGTGACGTCATTTATGGACGGCCCCTTTGCTCAAGGTGAACATCTCAAGTTGGAAATGCTCATAAAAACGGCAACAGGAAAAGTTGACATATTATATTGAGATGGTTTTGATGTTGATCTTGGAGTGCTGACATTTGTGATTATAATAATAATGCGTGGCGTTGTAATTGTAACAATACAAATATAGTTATTTGTATCTAATAGAGTGCTTGCGTAAGCCGGTGGGCGTCCCACCGTCTTTGTTCGATGGCTAAGCCAAAAACCGCTGTTGCGAGGATGACCGGAGTTCGATTGATGGTTTGTACTCCTTGACGAGCACAGCAAGTTATTGTGCTTCATTTGTGACAAGGGCTTTGTGTGCGATGCGTGCAACATGATAATTTGGGCTGAAAAACGGGCATTAGTCTGCCAGTTAGGCGTCGATGATTGTCGTGTGTAATTCCCCGTTGAACCATTCGCGTAACTCACTTGCAGCAGTCGTTGTGGAAGCGGTTGTAGCTGCCCAGGGCTGCCAGGGCTCCCAACCCAACGGCGTAGGAGAAGAAGATCTGAGTCCCCGCGTCGATCCACACCTGCAGACGGACAGGGCTCGTTACCAAGCTGCAGCGTGAACAACATTCCCTGGCAAGTGGCGTGACGGGTACTGCAAGATCCGGCCGTGTCCGTCCGGTGTTCGCCAAGCTGCATTGGCTTCCCGGTTGCCGAACTAATACGTTGTAGGGTAGCGCTTATTACACACAAAGTACTTGCCGCAAATGAACCACGATACCTTGCTGATCTCGCCAAGGAGCATAAACCATCACGCGGACTCGAAGCGGATTTTGACTGGCCATCGAACAAAGACGGACATCGAATCACGCACTTTCAGACGCGCTTCTGCGGCTACCTGGAACGCTCTTCCTTCCGATATTAGGAAGACACTGGAGCTATGCACTTTTAAATCTAAATTTAGTTTTTTGTTATGCATTTGTCCTTTGCCGCACCTCCGATTCGCATGGTCGACTATGCACGGTGCGTAAGTTCAACATACACACAAATGCCTCCTTATTGTCTTCTGCCTTATTCATTTGTTTTTACCTCCACTAACATTCCAATTGTGCTATAGGCACCGTACAACAGGACGAAGCCATTTCGATTCAGAATTATTATCCGAGATAGAGTCGATCAGGACAGAGCGACTGATGCTTATTGCTATTGATGATGGCCGAGAAGGGCCAGAAAGCTGGAATTTTATACCAACGTTGTCGACCCTATGTATCTAACAATACAGATTTTAAACACTTTTTTTGGGGGGGGAGGGGCTCACATTTATTGGTTTATTCATAGTGTGGCACATTAGGAATGGACACTCTTTCAATAAGTCCTTATGTGCTTTGCAGTACATCAATGCACGTGTGTACACCAGCATGTGATGACTGAGTTGGGCCTGTGGGGGGGCTGGCAGGGTTATTGTTTAACCGGACGTGTACACCAGTCACGTGGTTAATGGCGACTCGGTGAGGATTGCTGTGTGTGACACACGCGCTGTTGCATTCTACATATTAACCACAACAAATGTGTTTGCCCTCGATTTTGAGCGCCTGCCCACGTCCTTCATTTCGAGTGTGCAACAATAGGGCAGGACCAGCTTAAATGTCTTTCAAAAAACATTCTTGGTATTATAATATTAACGGGTAACGTGGCGAGCGGGGAAGGCAGCGGCCACGCGATGCTGACGGAAATTGCCAAAGCTCTGCGGTCCTCTATATATTAAGGTTGCTATCGGCCAAACAATTAGTGTTTCCATGTGGTAGGAAACCGACGCATCTCGAGAAAACCCCTGCACACAAGAAGGGAAACATTATATACAGTACCGTACAGACGGAACAGGTGGGTGTCCACATTTTTGCTGTCATGCCAACTGCTGGCGAGCCAGGGCGTGATGCCTCAGTGAAGCCCACGGGGAGAGAGTTTCACAACATTCGTGCGACGCACCAACCCTCGCCTCGACAGGGATGGCTTAGAGGAGTGCGCCACCACACCGGCCCGGCTGCACGTTCCCACTTTCATTCCAATTGTGCTCTCGGTATCACGTCATGAGATTAAGGATCCATTCACAAATCTCAAGGAGCGGTCTCTGCATGACACGCCAGAGAATGGCTGCGGAAGACGTTTGTAGCAGCACATCTCCAGAAAAAGAAATCCCTCGGGGAGAAATGTTTTCGCTTAAGAGAACAGGGTAAAAATTCCAGCACGAATTTAAGATTCGGTCTCTATCATGAGTGTTTTTTCTTGTTCGTCTCATCTCGCTCCCTATGGGCCACCACGTGCAGCTCGGTTTAGCGTCACGGGATGAAGCAATTGCAGCCTACCTCCCCCGCACCAGGGGCCAACGTGACCACGGCCAACTTTGTGGATGCGTCTAGCGACGTATCGTGCCGCGCGTTGTCGATGAGCGCCTCCTGAGCGGACGGTTGAGTTGGGGGCCCTCGGCTCCCGCGCTGCTGATAAAGTGGCTGTCGCTTGGCTCAGCAAGACGAGCGTACGATGATGAATAAGTTGATAAAAAATGTGGTGAATTACCACTCGTCAACCTCATGTTTGCTGCTTTCATACTCGCGTTGATTGCTATGACGTCTCCGATCATCTTTGTGACGTGTTCTCTGATTTCCAAAATTATCAATCTTATCCATCTTTATTTGTTGGTTCATAGTTTCCTAGCATCACAAATTTAATGACAGCACGGCGCTTGAGTTTGAGATTTTCAGCACCCAAGAAGCACAACAATTTAGGATATTGCGTCCTAGCAGTTCGAACCTCATGAGTATGACTATAAGTATCTGCAATATCGGTGGTCTCTGTTTTTTCCTTCTCTATCAGGATCAGCACATTGTCCACCATCCTCGCAACCGGGCTTCATTCATTTCTCTCTCGATATGATCCTCGGCTGTTTGGAGTCAGGATTAACGACGTAAGGCACTACCACTAGAACACATGGTACAACTGCCCAACATAATCCTGTTTTGTTGCATTTTCCCAAGTAGCGTCCTTTTCAATCTCGATTGAACTTCTCATTTCTCTAGAGCTGCTCGCTCTTAGTGTGTAGTTTGTTGCCCTTCCCCGCACCTCCGATTAGCACGGTTGGCTACGTATGGTGCGAAAGAAGTTCGACGTACATAGATACTTTACTTAAGGACACTTGGTGACTTAATAAGCGCTATTTGCGCACGCGTGTCGCACGTCAACGCGAAATAAAAGGAGAGAGACATGTTGTTCCGAAATCAGTCCTGGAGCAATGTTCCTAGATGTTCCGGCTGAAATTAAACATTGCTCATGTGCTTTAATTATTTTTAACGTGCAGTGGTTTGAGAGATTTTCATATCAACTGGACAACTCTATCCGACTATTCTTGTTTCCTAGAAACTCTCCTGTCTGATTCCAGTCAGAGACACTGACAATCTCGCTGCCCCATAGTCATTGGCACAACTCTCCAACTGTGATTGAAAATGTGAACTTTTTTAAAATTTTTATCTCACCGAGTCAGATTTATTTGAGGCTGAGTTGGACTCAGTCTGGGTGGGGGTTTCCCGCTTTGGGGAGGCAGGGTGTCCGGTTTGTCGAAAGTTTTAGAGGGGACCGACACAGTGACGGATCCAAGGGGCGTGCGATTGCGCCAGCTCTCCCTCCTTGCCCCCCTCAGCCCCCCACCAACATCTCCTCGCCTGCTCCTCCCCCTTCCACTGTTCCCCGCTCCACTGCCCACCTCTCATTTTGGCGGGAATCCTTTACCCCTTGAAATCCCTCACAAAACGGTGCAGGTTTTTTTCAATCACCTCGTCATCTCTTACCCCGCCCTCCACGCGGGGGTTGAAACGAAAACCACCGCAGTTAGTCGATTGGCGGATGGCGAGTGGTTATAGTGTGGGTACTCCAACCTCCGCCAATACGTCCGCACGGCCGAAAGTGAAAGAGTAGGCCAAAGGGATCGTCGAGAAAGCCTTCCCGGGGGGGGGGGGGGCATTCCGATTGGGAGAGCAAACAATTGCAGGGATGCCCACTTAACCTTTTGATAACTGAAAAAGAAACGTTGTAAAGCACTTTTTTTTAAGTATGAAAAATAGGAATAGGATTTTACCCTTTCTGGCAATAAAACAGGTGTTAAGATATTCTTGGTTCTTTCGGTAAAGTCACGTAAAAGGGAAACAAAAAAAATATTTTTTTATTATTTTATTGGTTCCCTTCTACGTGACTTTACCGAATAAACCAAGAATAAGAATCCCTGCAGTCACGAAAGTTTTAAATCAAGGTGTGACGATGTTCAAATACCAAATAGATACCTTGTGCAAGGTAAAACCAGAAAGGGTAGAACCTATTCGTATTTTTCATAATTTGATACTGGCAAAAAAGGTTCCATAATATACCTTTTTAAGTTATAATAACGTTTTTTTTCGGTTCGATCGTGTAAATACAAACGTGTCGTTAAACCCGTCAACACCCGACACAGCCAACTAGTAAGGGTTGTCACGTCAACAAAACGTGGCCAATTCGTTACTAGTACAGCACACCGGTGTGTTGGAGAGTAAACCCACAACATTTACAATCCGAGTACGACGTTTTGCCGGTGGTTACAACCAGCTTCGTGTTTCGGTCTTAAATAGAGGGGGTAAAGGTGATGTCATCACGATGTCCCTATCAGATGGGAAGAGTTAATGTGGTCATATAAGTTACAATGGATCACGTTTCATTTGAGAATATTCCGTGCCTATTATCAACATACAGACGATAAGAATCCATCAAGATACAGACGACAATAATAACACTATGTAACACAATTTTTGTTCCTGGGTACTAAGTTATTTTTGAATTGATTATGCCTAAAAAGTTAATAAAATGGCTATTATTACCCACAAACTTTGCTTTTGTGACCAGGACTTTATGTGAACGAAAGACACAAATGCACACGTTTTCTCATTGAAAATAGGTACATTTAAAAAATCACTGTCCTGGTCACAAAAGCAAAGTTTGTGGGAAATAATAGCCATTTTATCTACTTTTGAGGCATAAACAATTAGGAAATAACACTTACTACCCAGAAACAAAAATGTTGTTGTAACAGTGTAATTATTGTCGTCTTTATCTTGACGGACGATAGGGAAATGCAAAGAGGCGAGGTACCTGCGGCTCTAAGAGCTTCTGCCAGTCGGGCTTCAGGTAGAAGATGATCCCTTCATAGGCGCCGGGGAGAGTGATGCCACGAACAAAGAGGATGATCATGACGACGTAGGGGAACGTCGCGGTGAAGTACACCACCTAGCGCAGAAACACCGCCAGGTGCAATCAGTGCCACCGCGTTCCCCGCATTGTAAAAAAGAGACGCGGCCACGAGTAGAGCAACCGTGGCGAGATGTTAACGACCTCGCCTGGTATACAGGAGGTCGTGGGTTCCATCCCGACCCTGACGCCTGCTGCTGTATATTTGGAGTTTGGGTGTGGATTTTGTCTTCGGGACCTCCGGTTTTTCCCCCTCTACATTTAGAATAATGCGTTATAGAGTATTTGGCTGATATACATTTCCACGTGATAAGCCACTTTGTTGAGCTATCATTTGTGGTCAGGTCACTTCTGAAAAAGAGCTTTATGTAGCTCAGTGGGCCTTACCTGGTAAAATTCAATAAAAATAAAACTGCTCTGGGATACTGTCCATGTCCTTTCTCGGAGACGCTGGCGATCATGGCCTTAATTCCAAATCGCGATGTTTATATTTGCTTAAGAAGATTGCATCAGATCCTACTCCCGGTTACTACCAATTGTTCAAATTGCATACGCAACTTAATTTGCTGTCTTCCCCCAGCTTTTCGTGGTGCCTCTATAATTATCGGAGCTCTCGAAATAAGTATCGGGCATTGTGATAGGCCAAACCTAAAACTTGAAAATTGTCAACAACTGAATTGTAATGGAATGTAATAAACTGGTCCAATGTGTCTGCGATTTCACGTGACCTTCTTGCATAATATATTGTTCTTAAATGGGATCTCACCTGGGCAAATCGATCGACATTATGTTGAAGTTGATGATCCCGTTTATACAGTTTCCCGGCTATAATACAAGGGGGATCCGTGGTGCGTGAACACAGCAACAACAAAACATAGCCAAAAACATCAATATTGCAGAGAACGAGTAGTGTACAGTCATAAAGGAATCTCGCTTATGGTATTCAGATGCTATGCATACAAGTATTGTTTCCATTACACTGGTCAACAAAAAACAAACATTTTTTTATGGCCTGGACTTTTGCAGCTGTTTAAGACTAATTTCAGGGTGCTGATTCCAAATCTGATCTCAGATTTGCTTTATCACATCTCATTTTTATGCTATCGGCATACCCAATTTTCATTGATTTTTCCCAAAATTAACTCTGTCACTTATGATTGCAAGTTGTTGCGAGTCAGTGACTGCTTTAGTGTTAAAATATGGTGCTGTATTTTTAGGATGGTGTGTTTATAATATCATTTTATGTAGATATTCACATTTATTTACTATTTTTCTTCTGCAGTTTTTATTGAAAATGCAATATTTGATATCTCAAAAACTTGATGTGATAGACAAAAACTGATGCCAGATTTGGAATCAGCACCCCAAAGTTACCTTAAAACCCTTGGAATACCTTTTTCCAGAAAAAGTGTGTTGACCAGTGTTATACTGTACATATTTATAAAATAAAAACAATTTAAAGAAGACTCCAGGACCGGCCCAGGAGTCGCTGGTGGGACGATGTCACTGGGCTGGCCTGGGAACGCCTGGGAATTCCCCAGGAAGAGCTAGAGTCTTTGTATAGTAGTGTATAGTGTAGTGTAGTAGTGTATAGCGTATAGTAGTGTAGTCGTGTATAGCGTAGTGTATCGGAGTGTACATCTAGGAGTATGTCGCCACTACTCAACACGCTGCCGCTGCGACCCTCACCAGGACAAGCGGATTAAGAAACAAACTATTCCAGCCATTCACTTAATGGATGGTGGCCCTCTTCCATGCTTTGTTGTTCATGATTTTTTTTAACAACCATACTTCACCACGCTGGGTATTGCAGGCTGTTTAAATGGAGGACAAAACCGGATTTGATATGAGTACCCGCCACCGATGTTAGCCGTGGCTGGGAATCGAACTTGGGATGATGGGTTAATAGTGCAGTGGGCGAAACCACTACACCACTACTCCACCACACACATTTGAATACAATTACAGTGTTTTACCATCATTAGCTATGGTCAATTCACTGCTAGGTGGAGATCTCTCCAATCTACAGCATGCAATAGCAATCTATAAAGCACGAGCACGAACTGATTTCATCACTCCATCTCCTCGGTAGATGTGCTCTTTCAGACGCGTTCCATTCCTTGGCTGTCACTCCGTACACACACGCGCGCACATAAGTGTAAATAATTTGCACAATTGCCAAAAAAGGCAATTACTACAGCGTAGCATCTTCTGCGCAAGCAAAGCACAAGTTTGATAATTTAATTCTTCAAAAGTGCCAGCCTCCACTTATCCCTTCAAGCGCAAGGAGGAATTTTCCACTGCAGACAAAAAAATGCCGCAGAGCCCACCCCGAAATTACAGAGAGCCGCAGCTACCTCCTCCTCCTCCAACCGAGGATGAATTTTGGGACTCCCCCACCCCGCGAGCCATCACCACCACCCCCCACCACCACCACCCACCACCACCACCACCCACCAACGCACACGTGACGCAAATGTGCGCGTGACTCACGCCCCCCCCCCTCGTCTCGTGCCGCGTACGTTCTGTACGGAACCCCTTCCCCCTCCTCCTGCTGTGAGAGCCGTGTCTCCCTCCCATCCCTCCTGGTGGGGAGGGGGGGGGGCTGAATAGAGGTTCCTCCGTATTTAGAAACGACGCGAGACGTCATTGGCATTCGTCAACTCCTTTCCGGGAGGGTCGGACGGCACCGTAGAGGTTCTGCGAGCAAGTCAATAGAATAAAAATCAAATCGTGTCCTCCCCCCCACCCACAGCTCGCTGCGCGTGGTTTTCGGTGCGTTCAATCGCGTACCCCGATATTAGTTGGGCAAAAGGGCCGTCCATAAATGACGTCACGCACCTAGGGGGGTGGGGGGTCAGACATTTGTGACGATGTGTGACGAGGTGGGGGGGGGGGGTTGAGAAATGTGACGTCACATCAAAATGCGCAACTTTAAATAAATATAGACAACACGTTCTACTTAATTAAATAGACTTTTTAATAAATGTTTTCTCCTACAACATCAGAGTGCAGCGCCACATTAAATACGCACTACAATGACAATAGTTTCAATCGATTTGAAGCATGTTTTATTTTTTTAATGGCAATACGATTTTGGAGGGTGGGGGGGGCAGAGCTTTGTGACGTCATATTTGAGGGGGGGGGGGTCTGACTTTTTGTGACGCCGTGTGACGAGGGGGGGGGGGGGGGCGGTCAAAAATCGTACAAAATCGCGTGACGTCATTTATGGACGGCCCCAAAGTATTCGCCGAGGAACGCGTGTGAGTATATTTACGCTCGACAGTATTTGTTTTTGTTTTTCAATTGACGGACGAAAATCGTTGAGCAGCGACGAGGAACTTGCCATTCGTCACCGATGGATGGGCCTGTGTGGGGTGAGGCTCCGTCTGGCTTGTGACGAGACGACGATAAACTAACGGGTCTCACACAAAGATCGACGCAGGCTGAGGTCATTTAGTGGCGTTATTGGAGACTGCGGTTCACTGAAGAAACCCCCCCCACCCACCCATCAAAATGGTAATTTGATATAGAGCATATATACACCGTACCAAGGCCGTAATGATAATAATATTTGGGGACACACACACACACACCCCCCCCCCCCAATAATCAAATATGCTCAAAATGCCCCCCCCCACAATATATTGCTATAAAATAGATTTTTGTTTATATGATTGTGGTTATGGTTGTACTTTATTAATCCTTAATCTCTGCCATTACATACAATGAAACAAGAAATGGTAAAAAAGAAAAAAAACAGAGCAATGTAATACAATACACTATTAGACATTATTGTAAACAATAAATAAAAAAATATTTTAGGCAGGAAATGGCAGGAAATTCGTTTTCAAATGTAGATTTTTTTTCTGGGGGGGGGGGGGGACCCCACACCCCCTGGAAGATTTGGTCCCCACCCAATGTTGACTCCATGGCTCCGGCCTTGTACCGTACAGTATTTAAAAGATTTACTGAGTTAACTACTTAGTCAAACTGATAATATTGGGGGAGGGAGTGGCGAATGGTGCCTCTCTCACACAAACGTCTCAAACTCAGAGTAGACGACGTTTGTTTTGTTATTCGACGAGACTCGGACTATGACATTTATTTTCAAAATGCTGAATAAATGAACACTGCGTGACCATGGGTCGGCACTTAACTCTCCGCGATTAGCTCTGAGCCGATGGTGGGGAAATTCCACATTACCATGACGGGGGGGGGGGTGGGGATCACATACAGAGGTCAATGGGCCGCGTCGTTGCTGAGCACAGGTCCAAAACGTCAAACGGACAGGAACAAACAGCGCTATCAAAATTGTTATAGATACGAGTGAAACTTGTTTCTTGAATTGAGAAATGTTATTTAGTGTTAAGAACTTGGGATTAGAGATGATGGGAAGGAATTATAAAGTCGAGTAGTGCGAAGGAAGACGCTAAAAAAATATTAAAAATAAACTAGTTTTGTTGGACCAGGTTCGGCCCACTGAGCTGTATAGCTCTTTTTCAAAAGCGACCTAGCTATCACGAACGATTGCTCAACGAAGTGGCTCATCGCGTGGAAATTTATAGCAGCCAAATACTCTAAACGCACGTTGATTCGAAAAAGTGGAGGGGAAAAAAAACAGAGGACCCGAAGAAGAATCCACGCGACCATGGCGAGGAGAAAAGTGCAAACTCCAAATGTAAAGACGTTAAGGACGAGATCGAACCCACGACCTCCTGTATACCAGGCGAGGTAGTTAACATCTCGCCACCACGGCGCTTGCGGCGTGATGGTTGAACGCAATATTGGATGAGGAATCAAGGTATTGTACTGGGATGATGACATTGAGGGGATGTCTCAATCCAGCAGTTGATAGATCATGTCTGATGGTGATGCCGAAGGAATACGGGGCTTGCGAGTTGACCTTGGGATTTAAAATTCCAACCTTGTGAGTGGGAGATGACTGTTCTATTCGCAGCAACACCTTGTCCGATATAGAGTCGTATAGTAAGAATACAATCAATACGCAGTGCATTTAGGAGTCCTCTCCAAGTGTT